TGAGCTAGGCTGACGCCATGGCACTCTAACTGGAGCAACAGAGTAAGATTCTGTCTCAAAAAAAAAAATTAAATTTAAATTTAAAAATAAAGGAGAGGGGGGGAACAAATTATGCATTCATCTCAGAATGGTAGAAACACCATACAGCAAGAATAAAGAAACAGAAGAAAGTAAATAATGAGAAAACAGAAATTACTGATTGGGGGGTAATATATGAAGGATTTAAACCAAAAAGCTAGTTACTGATAAAAGGAACTCTTTCCTCTCTCTCTCTTTCTTTCTTTCTTCTCTCTCTCTCTCTCTCTCTCTCTCTCTCTCTCTCTTCCCTGGGAAAATAAATAAATCTTGTACTTCTTTCTGTCCTAAACCCAGTATGAAAATTCTTTCTCCACCTGCTATGAACACCTAGTAAATTTCCACCCTTTCACAGACATCTCAAAAAATTTATCTTCCAAGCATCCTTTCTTAAGAAGCAGTTATAGGATGTACTACACCAAAATGAAAGAATAAACTTAGATATAAAATGTGGGGCCAGCTGTGGTGGCTCAGGCTGAGGTGGGAGGATTGCTTGAGGCCAGCAGTTGGACACCAGCCTAGACAACATTGTTAGGTCCTGTCTCTTCAAAAATAAAAATTAAAAAATTAGCCAGATGTGGTGGTACTAGCCTGTAGTCCTAGCTACTCAAGAGGCTGAGGCAGGAAGATTGCTTGAGCCCAGGAGTTCGAGGTTACAGTAAGCTATGATCATACCTGAGAACAGATAGAGACCTTGTCTCTTCAAAAGAAAAAGAAAAGAACATGAGATATAAGAACTAAACACAGTAGAGAGGTATAGGAGTTGATAAGAGGATGAGGAGGCAGGGCTGGCCTCAAAGGCAACTGGGGCAGATTGTAGTAGAGTAACTCAAGAGACAGACACGTTGAGGGATGTCATCACTAAGATGCCTCCTATCAATCTATCACCTGTTTTGTTTTTTTAAAAATTGAGATTAAATTAATATCAGGTGAAACATAACAAAATTAGCCATTTGAAAGGGAAACATTCAGTGACATTTAGTATTCACAGTGTTGCACAACTACCACCTCTATCTGGTTCTAAAACATTTTCATCATTCCAAAAGAAAACTCGACCCATAAGCAGTTACTCCCCATTCCCCCCAGGCCCTGCAACCACCAGTCTATGTTCTGTATCAGTAGTGAGTTTGAGGATTTTAATCAGCACCAAAAGGAAAAAGACATGACCACAAGGTGGCAGTGGCACCCAAGGAGCTTTAGTTAGGCCGTATTTAGACAGGATTGCCTGCCAACTAGAGGAGACCTCTGTCACATCAGGAGACCTAGACACAGGGGCATAGAGGCCACCACCCAGAAGAGGGGGAGGAAAAGGAAACTCCCCAGCAAGAAAGGGCTTATGTGACTAGGTGAAGTCACTTCTGCAGCAAGGTGGAGAATCTCTGGGTCAAAGAGCTCTAAAGAGCAGCTGTGGCTTGGGGTCATCTAAAGACTCAAGGTTGTCTTATCAATGGCTAGTAATGTTGTGCAGTTATGTGGGATATGCAAAGCAGGAAAGCTCTAAATGGCTAAAAATATGCTTACTGAGGCTATTTTAAAGCAACTGGATGTGTAAACATTTCGGGCTTTTGAGCTAAAGGCCCTAGCCTGCTGTGAAGAAGTAAAAAATGTATGGGCCAATATGCAAGGACATTTTTTGGCTCGTTTATATAACAATCTCCATGGTTTACCATTCTGGAATTTCATATAAATGGAATCACACAATATTTGACCTTTTGCATCTGGCTTTCTTCACTTAAGCATAATATCTTCAAGGTTCATCCATGTTGTAGCATGTGTCAGATGCTACATTCTTTAAAAAGAATTTCATTCCTTTTAAAGGCTAAATAATATTCCATTGTATGGCTATACCACAATGTGTTTATCTATTCATATCTGTTGATGGACATTTGGGTTGGTTCCGCCTTTTTGCTACTGTGAATAGTGCTGCTTTGAACTGGAGAATAAAACATGGTTCGCTCTTGTCCTTTGCTTGTCTGCACCATTTGTGGGTGCAGTTCTTGCTTTCCCTTTAGGTCTTGCTGTGTGGATCAGGTGAGGGCACTCATTTGCCCCGCAGAAAAGTTCTGCTTTGACCATCTCCTGAGAACTTGGTGTAGGCCATGGTGAACTCAAAACCAGAAAAACACACACACACACACACAGAGCAGCCTCCCCACATCATATTTCTATTACATTCTCAGTCTCCTTCCCGATGTGGTCAGCCCCATGAATAGGACTCACTCATGCTAACATCTTAACAAGGGCTCATAAACTCTCAGAGAATATGGCCCCAACTATGTCCCAGGAAAGGCCTGTCTCTGACACATGCTGGACTTGGCTCAAAACTATAAATAGAGGTCTACGTATCATATGCCACCAAGTTCCTGTTCATATCACACAGTCCAGGCTGGGCAAGCTGTGGCCCATCTTCCTGCTAGCATCTTATTTTGTTACCGAAAGGAATCTTGAGGTTGCAAGGCCAGGTTTGAATTTAGAATTCTTGGACTCTCAGTCAAGCTCCCAGGCAGCTCCCCTTCTCTTTCCACCTTGGCACCCCTTCCCAACCCGCGAGGGGCCTTGTGTGCATGGATGTGTATCCTCCAGTCCAGATGTTTACACTCCTTTAATGGTTCTTGCAAATTGTTGCCTGTGGCCACCCCATGGGACTAACCAGAATCAGTACAGCCCACCTTTGAGAAGATGGACCTGAGGAAGCAGCCCAGGAAGGCTCTGGAAGTTGGCTTGGACTGTTTGTGCAGGAAATTCTGGGGTTCTAGGTAGCAGGAACATGGTCTAAAAGGGGCACAGACTAGGGGACAATCTGGTTCCTTAGCTCCTTGGACTTTTCTAAAGGGCCTGTTTCAAGGTGTTACCAACCTACATAATCATCTAACTCAGCCTCACACAGCTGCTTGCTCCTCAGTGTTTCAAAAGTAACAGAATATTTGGAAATAGGCACCTAGAGTGTGAACTACACGGAAATGCAGGGGAATGATTAACCTAACAGGATAATAGTTACCTCTGGGAGGATGGAGAGGGATGATTGTAGAGGTATAGAGAGAGGATGGCTTCTAAAATGCTGTTTAACCTGGAAGTGGGCATACAAGTGTTCATTTTATTATTATTCTTTAATCTATCTATCTATATAAAACCAAGATTAGATATCCAAAGTGAGAATATGAGGCAATATAATAATTACATAATTAATCAGACAATACCTGGCTAATGTCCTTTAACATAAAGGTGATAAAGAAAGAAGGGCAGAAATTACATGTATTGTCTGATCCAAAACCTATTAATTATTTTGCCTCATATTTCCACTTCAGATATCTAATCTTGGTTTTACTCTTATAAGACTTAGTAATGTTTAATAACAAAGAGATACCACATTAACCACCACCCCTAATTTTCTGCCTCAGTATAATATTCATTTTCTCAAACTTGCTGTTTTCAAACAAGAGAAATAGAGACAAAAATTTAAGATAAATTCAGCTACAATGCTTTATTTACTATATGAAGTGCTCAATATTTTCATTTTTTTAGGATCATTTCTGTCTTCAAAAGATAAATATTTGTCTGAGGATTTACTACATGCTCAATGTGCTGGAATACTTGAGCTTCTCAAAGTCTGATGGACAAAACAGTTACCTCAATATTTAAAAAAAATGTTTGATGTAACAGTTGATATAAGTGGTGTGTGCAAAGGATCAAGAATGTATGATGGCTGCTAGGCCATGCCAAAGGCAATTGGTTCAGCTTATTTATTCTAATGGTACATCTGTGTGGTAATACACTGACAGTGGGCAGTGGGGAATACATGATACTCAAATGGTATATTATCAAATGATACTGATTAAGCAAGCATCTCGTGCTCACACACACACACACACACACACACACACACAGGGCTATAGAGTATAGATTTTGTAAAGTAATGGCCCTATCTACCTCCTAGCACCGGAACTTTCTACCTAGACATTTTTACCCAGAATATTTTTTTTATGGGGATCTTGAAAATTCTTTCAAATTCAAAGCATTCAAAATTAGCCAAATTTAAAATCTCACCATGGCTGTCCTGGGCCTTATGATTTCAAATAAAGCTAAAGCAAGGGAATCAACATAAATACGGATTGAGCTATTATTATGTTCGAAGCCTTGTGCTAAAGTATGGTACAAGATTGATTCAGTCAGGGAAAAGCACAAGGAAAGGCACTTGCGGACAACAGTGACATATCTAGTAAAAATTCCGTGGCTGCTACTTTCTAATTTAAGAACCATTTTCTTTTTGCTACAAAAGAAACTCAAATTTTGCAAAATATGCACTTAATTTTCTCAATCTCGGTCGATCTCATGGTGATAAAATGGTATATACGTACTTTCTGGACTACTCGTTATTTAAAAATACTGAATTCTGCCCCAGTGTCAGACCACTTGTTCCAGTTTCTATTCCTATTAAAGAATAGGAACACTACTCCTAGCCCATGGCTTCTCCCCCCAACTCTCACTGCCTGATTTTCTACCAACAGAGGTCCACGCTTTTTCATCCGAAAGAGGGTATGACGGGAAGAGAAGCAGACACCTACGTGGGGTTCAATCCTAGAGTGCTCTGTCAAAAAGTCCCTAATCTAGTTTTCCACGTCACTCAAATGCAGGGGCTGCATTAAACAGCCTCTTCAAGGTCCCTTGCATCTGCAGACTTCTGCGATTAAAACGCATCTCATCTTGGAAGAATTCACGTAAAGTCCCTGCAGGGAATCGGTTGCTGAGGCCCAGGCCAACCAGAGTGTTAGAGCGAATCTGGTTACTCTTTGAAAAGCCTTCCCGGGGTGAGCATCCCGCGCCTGCAACGGAGAGCGCCCCGGCACCACGTGTCTGCGCCAGCTGCCGGATTGGCGGAGCGCATTTTAGCGCTGCGGTCTAGACCCGCGCGGTCCCGCCCAGCTGCCAGAGGAGCCGGGCGGCGCAGGGAAGAGGCAGAAAGGAGATCGCGCAGGGGAAGGGGGCGGGAGGGGGGTGGGGGATCCCAAGTTGTCCGCGGCCCGGAGTCTGCGAGGACCCGGAGCGGCGCCGAGGCGACCCGTCTCGCCACAACTTGCCCAGGCGAGACACACGTTTCAGCCTGCGCCCAGCGAGAAGGAGCCGGCCCGCCTCTCACAGCTCGGCAGCTCCCCGGCCTCTGCGGGCCCTGCCTGCGCCAGCAGCGCCCCTCGGATCTGGGTCCCCCCTGTCGCCCCCGTCCGCTTGCAGCGCCCGGCGCCCGCCCAGGAGCGCGCAGCTGGGGTGAGCCGAGACCGGGATGCGCCCGGCGCCCGCGGGAGCCGGTGGTAGACTGGGCGTCTCAGTGCGGGCGAAGCCGGGCCCTCCGCCGCCTCTGCCAGGCGCGAGCCGAGCCACTGCAGATCCATCCAGCCGGGGACGCCGCCGCAGCCCCCACTCCCTGTCTGCCTTCCAAGGAGGGGCGCCAAGGCCCCAGAGCAGCCCGCGTCCCTCGGCCTTTGTCTCTGCGGATTCGGCTGGCCGGCCGTGCCACGCGCCCGGGACGGGAGACGCCGCGCAAGGCTGGGGGGCCCTGCCCAGGATCGGGGACGGAGGGAACGGGAAAGCGTGCCCCCTTCTTAGCGTTCCGGCCATCTTGTGACCGAGAGTCCACCGAAGGGGGCAAGGATGGCCAGCGGCTCGGCGCCCCAGGCTGGAGTGGGGGCGGCGAGCAGGAATGGGCGCCTTGGGCCCGCGCGCCTCCGTGCCAGGACCGCAGTGGGGCGAGCTGGCCGCCCCCACACTCAGCTCTCGGCCCGGAGCATGGGTTAATGATCTCCAACAAGCCAGAGGCAGCGAAATAGAAGGGATAAGGGGCCGGGAGCTGACAGTTCCTTAACTAAGGGCCTAAGTCGTTCTATGGGTTTTTTTTTTTTTTTTATTCACGTGGTCCTTTGGCAAATTCTGAACGCCTTCTCCGTGTCGGTCCTGCGCTAGGTGCTGGGGATATATCGGTGAGCAAGAGAGACCACAGCCCTTGTTCCCGCTGATCCTGTAGCCCAGTGGATGGAGCCCAGAGTCCACAGACCTGCCAGGTCGGTGTCCTGATGCCCTTAAGCAGATGGGGAAACTTGAGGTCAAGGGGTGACATAATTTGCTCTAGGTCAGGCAGCAGGTAACTGGAAGACTCGATCTTTGAACGGTCAGTCTTTAGGACTTTTATGCTAGGCTGCAGTGAATCGTTAATAGTTCTTTTTAATCTAAAGGCCCATTAAAAATGATTTGTACGTATAATTTACATGAAGCTATAGGAAGTGCATGCTTTATTTCCTGGATACTTTTGTATGGGTTTGTTTCTGGTTCGGAATATCTGGAAAGTGCTAAAAATATTTGATATTAGGAACTTTGCTTCCAGTTACTCTGAATTGTATTTTCCTTTCTTCTGTTCATATATTTGGCTGTTAGGAAAGAAAAAAAAATTCCTGATGGTTGGTCCAAGCAGGGACTCCCCGGTGGATTGAGGAATGTCTGGCTTTTCCTCAGTTTATCGATATCTGTGGTAACCACTGGTGGCCCCCAAAAGACCCAAAGAATGAGAGGCCTGAGGTCTACGAGTTGCTGCTAAAAGTATTTTAGCCTCTCCAGAAAACAGAATGCAGCCGCCAGCCAAGTTGGTAAGGTAAATAAATACCATGGGCTTGTAAAACTTGATGATAAAGCTGGTGGTTAAAGTTCCCCTTCATCTGTTTTTGTCTTCAGTATTTTGAGAATGTATGCTTTTGGAAAGACAAGTATTACATATCTGGAGAAGTTCTTTGGTTTGTACTTTTATCAAAATGTAGTATTTAGGCTGCCAACCCATAGAAGACTCCACTTAGAAAGTATCTTGGATGCAAGAAATTTAGAAAGCCTGCTATCAAATATGATGAACTACAAATTTAATTTTGTAAACGTGCTTGAGGTTTAACACGCAAAATGCACCCTTACAGTGTACAATTCGATGAATTTTGACAAATGTATATATACCCAGGTAATCGACAGCACAATCAAAATGTAGAACATTTTCTGTTACCCCAGAAGTTTTCTCATGCCCTTTTGCAGCCAGTCCCCCTCCGCCCATTTAATTTTATAGAGCTTTATTGCTTGACGTTCTCTAAATTGTGTGTAAAAGATGAGGATGAATAAGATATTTCAAATCTCAAAACCTAGGGCATGGACAGGAGTAAATAAGCATAGGATGGCAGCTAGGACCCGAAGTTCCCAAGGACGTGTCTACCCACGCCTGCCTTAGGGACGTGGAGTGGCCCTCCGCAAAGGCCAGGGCGGGTGGTGCCCTGTCCGGGTGGGAAGATGTGCCTACTCGGGCTCGTCCACGAGGTCTTCTCTGGTCCCGCAGGGCCCTGGGCGCACGCTGAGCGCGCGGCGCGCCCTTTCCTCCGTCCGGACCTGGGCGCTGCCATAGCAACGGCCTGGACGCCCAGACCTTAGGCCGCCGCCGCCGCCGCTGGGGACCCGGCCTTCTCCAGCTCCCGAGGCGAGTGGCGGCGGCGGCCTGCGAGGCGGCCCCAGCCGGGTAGACGAGACCGGCCCGCACGTCCGGTGCAAGCAGAGGCGGCGCATTGGCATACAAGGATGGTAAGAGGCGGGAGGCCGTGGGTGCCCTCCCGGGGAGGCCGGGCTGCGAACCACCGACCCGGCCCGACGGGACGCCCGCCTCCCATCCCACCCCCGCCTCCCGCCGTGCTCTCTCTCTCTCCCGCAGCCCTTCCAGAAGCACGTCTACTACCCACTCGCCGGCTGCCCCGAGGGACCCGAAGCCTCTGCGGCCGCCGCGGGCGCTGCTGCCATGGCCTGCGTCCCCCCCAGCTCGGCTTCGGGCCCCGTGCCCTTCTTCCAGTTCAGGCCGCGGCTGGAGAGCGTGGACTGGCGGCGGCTGAGCGCCATCGACGTGGACAAGGTGGCGGGGGCCGTGGACGTGCTGACGCTGCAGGAGAACATCATGAACATCACCTTCTGCAAGCTGGAGGACGAGAAGTGCCCGCACTGCCAGTCCGGGGTGGACCCGGTGCTGCTGAAGCTCATCCGCCTGGCGCAGCTCACCATCGAGTACCTGCTGCACTCGCAGGAGTTCCTCACCTCGCAGCTGCGCACCCTGGAGGAGCGGCTGCGCCTGAGCCACAGCGACGGCGAGCAGAGCAAGAAGCTGATCTCCAAGCAGGCTGGGGAGATCAAGCTGCTCAAGGAAGAGTGTAAACGCAGGAAGAAGATGATCTCCACCCAGCAGCTGATGATCGAGGCCAAAGCCAGCTATTACCAGGTGGGGCACCGCACTTGTGAGCATATTCATAATCCAGTAAGTCGACACAGTTCCCATTTGAGAGGCCTTACCTGTATCACCACTCTTAAAGATTTGCACTGGATGTCAGGAGACAAAGCCTACTTAAGGAAGAACAGTCATTTTAACCAACAAATGACATGGCTCAATACCTTCTGCAGACAACCAGGGGATTAATAATTAAACAACTAACGTTGTCAGCAGTTTTATTGAAGTCCTTTAAGTACTGATTGTTCAAACCGTTTCCTCCTCCTAATCGCTGTCATGAAAAATCAACCATGCACAGATTGCTGTTGGTCAGCCCCAAATGATCTGGGATGTTTAAATTTGTGGGTTTTCTCTCATTTTTTAAAAATTTTGAAATATTTTCAAACTGACAGAAAAGTTGCCAGACGAGTACAAATAACTTTCATATGCCTTTAACCCAGATTCACCAATTATTAACTTTCTTCGCATTTTCTCTATCTCTATATACATATCGTTATTACTTTTTAAACCATTTCACAGTGAGTTGAATCCTCCTACATATTTCGATATGTATATTTCCTAAGAGCAAGAACATCCACTTACATAATAATAGTATCTTAAAGAATGAGACATTTTCATTTTTCTGGTCTTCATATCTAACTGTTATAGATTAGACATTGAGTCCAAGATAAATATTGCAATTTTTGAATATAACAGAAACCAAAGCATGTCCTTTTTATGGATTAGTGGGAGGAAGTTCAAAAGGTATAAACAATGTTTGATAAAGATATCGAAGTAAGCAACAGATTGACAAGATTAATTTTACACCCATACTTTCTAGTCATTTTGGCTAACTATGGTTTAAACGCCCTCATTGGATTTAGGACTATTGGGGCAGAAGCTTGCCTGAATGTTGGAGAACTGGGTTTAGGGCAGAAAAAGTGGAGCAATTAGCATTCCTTAGGACTAACCCAGCAGGAATGCTGAGAGAAGTGTACTTAAGATAGGTGAACAGTTGGAAAGAACAGTGTTAGAAAGACTAGTGTTTGACTTTGGATAGACAACCCTGAGGTATAATCTTCGAATGGTATTTAACATCACTAATTGCCTATTTGTTTTGTAAATGCAATTTAAAAATTAAGTATTTATAAATAGTGCTAAGATGGCTTTTTTCTTGTACAATGAATAGAATGGATTTTATGTAAACGTTTTAAAAAAGTACATTATACTCTAGCTTTGGTAGTCATCTACTGAAAGGTTAAAATCTGTAACATACAGAAATTCTATGTTTATAAATTTTTTTATTCCTTTGGTTACCATAGAAATAGCTGTTAGTAAGTAAAGATTTTTGAAATGTGAATGATATGTAAGGACAAAGAGATAATGACTCAACTTTATTAAACGAGTGACACTTGCCAACTCCTGACAGACAACTCCACAGACTCTAAATGACACTGTTGACTGGTATGCTCAGGTGTGACCTCAAAGAGGTAGGCGTGACTAGACCATCTTTTCCTACTTAATGTAGTACAGGTACACTCTGTTCCCTGTTAAATGGCTTGCCATTATGTTTTTATTGAGTCTGTGTGTGTAACAATTCCAGAGTTTGACTGCCTGCATTTGAATCCTAGCTGTCCACTGAGCAAGCTGTTTAATTTCTAAACCTTAGTTTCCTTGTCTGGAAAATGGGGACATTAATAGTACCTGTTAGGGCTGGTCTCAGAACTCCATTAGATCTGCAGTCCTCTGCAGATCCCCATTAGATCTGGACTCCCCCCTCCCCAAAGCAAAAATTGCCTTCCATAAACTTAGGAACTGGGCTGCACAGCAGGAGGTGAGCAGAGGTGAGCAGGAGGCGAGCAAGCTAAGCTTCATCTGTATTATCTGCATTTACAGCTGCTTCCCATCATTGACATCACCACCTGAGCTCTGCACCCCACCCCCACCCCCACCCCGGTCCGTGAAAGAATTGTCTTCCATGAAACCAGTCCCTGGTGCCAAATAGGTTGGGGACCGCTGCATTAGGTGATGCACAAGAAGCATGGTTTCTGCAGTGGCTTCCCAGTAGTGAGCTGTGACAACCCGTGATCTCTTTGTGAATTGCAGACCTTTTTTAGGAGCCCGCTGAATAATGGGGAGTATAGAAAAGACGGCCATAGGCCACGGTACGGATGCTGTAGGAATTAGTGATTCATAAGCCGGTGGGTTCCATGATGTTATAATCATTGTAACTCCAGGTTTGTACAGTGGGGATGTTTGGCCCCTGATAAAATTTGTGGAAAGACAATTGATTTTGTTTAAATAGTTATTTAACTTTAAGATGCAGTCATGAATTTATGTTTAATAGAGACCTCCCAACAGCTGGGGAAGTCTGATGGCCATGTATAAAGGCCAGTGTGTACCAATGATCTAACTATCAAATTATTTTTAAAATTTTCAAAATTTCAATATACCAGCACTGTGCTTGCCAGTGGATTATAACAGGACTTAGACTCATTGTAAGAAGACCTTGTGTTTACATAGCTGAAATACTCAGATTCCTCTTCATGTGCCAGCAACACAGGCAGATTTTGGCAGATTTTTATCAGTGAATTTCTGCTCCTGGTTCCAATTATTCAGCTATTTGAGTTGGAGACAAGTGTTGGGGAGTAGAAAAAGCATGCATTTTGCAATCAGAGAGATATAGGTTAAAATATACGACTGATAATACTGACTTAGTGTTTCTGAGCTTTGACTTCTTCATGGATACAGTGGTTGCTGTGGAAATTAAATAAGATAAGGATGTGACAGGATCTGTCCCAGTAGGCACAGCGGAAATGTTGGTTTCTTTATCCACCATTCCCGGCAGTTGTCTTAGAGAGGTCTCAAAAAACATCTGGAAGAATAAAGAGCTTCCATCCTACTTAGTTTTGGTGAAGGAAGGAATCCTGAGTTCTCATGTTAATTTCTTTACACTAAATCTTTTTCATGTTTTCATAATTCAACATATTCTATCTTTGAGATTATTAAAGAAAGAGCATCAGATTCTTTTCTGTGAATGGTTAATAGAGTGATCACTTTTCTTAATTCATCATGTTCCTTTTTTTCCTTATCTAACATGCTTTAAGGGATACTTCTTCCATATAGAAGTTTATCTCATTCATCTGTATATAAAATTAATCTATATTGGCCGGGCGCTGTGGCTCACGCTTGTAATCCTAGCTCTTGGGAGGCCGAGGCGGGCGGATTGCTCAAGGTCAGGAGTTCAAAACCAGCCTGAGCAAGAGCGAGACCCCGTCTCTACTATAAATAGAAAGAAATTAATTGGCCAACTGATATATATATATAAAAAAAAAATTAGCCGGGCATGGTGGTGCATGCCTGTAGTCCCAGCTACCCGGGAGGCTGAGGCAGAAGGATCACTCCAGCCCAGGAGTTTGAGGTTGCTGTGAGCTAGGCTGACGCCACGGCACTCACTCTAGCCTGGGCAACAAAGCGAGACTCTGTCTCAAAAAAAAAAAAAAAGTTAATCTATATTAATGCATACATACACACACATTTATCATGTATATATAACTATCTTTTTAAGAAAATTCAAAAAGGTTTAGAGGATAAATTTTTTTTTTAGAGGATAATTTTTTTTTTTTTTGAGACAGGGTCTCTGTTGCTCAGGCTAGCATGCAGTGGTATCATCATAGCTCAATGCAACCTCAAACTCCTGGGCTCAAGCAATCCTCCTACCTCAGCCTCCCGAGTAGCTGGGACTATAGGCATGTACCATCACACCAGGCTAATTTTTCTATTTTTTGTAGAGACAGGGTCTCACTCTTATTCTGGCTGGTCTCGAACTCCTGGCCTCAAGCACCCCTCCCGCTTCGGCCTCCTAGAGTGCTAGGTTTATAGGCTTGAGCCACCTCACCCAGACTCAACAGTTATCTCTTTTATTCTTAGCTTTTTCTGATTTATTTCTTCTGCAATGATGTTTTGGCTCTTATTTTGTTTTTCGCATTTTATGTTTATTTTTTCACCTCATTCCAGTTTTTAAGAAACCATCTTGTTTTTATAGAATACACGCTCCTCTTGTGTTCTGCGGTGTGAACGAAGAGATTGTAAAGAACATCTTTTTTGTTCCTTCCTTGATTTATAGAGCCCCCTGCCCTCAGTAATTTTTATCTTTGCATGCCGTTTTCCCCCTTTCTTCCTTTCTTTCTCGTCTCTCTTCCTTCTTTCCTTCCCTCCTCCCTCCCCCTTTCCCTCTTTCCTCCCCTCCCCAATAGGGTGGTGTGTTTACACCATCTCTGTCATTACTGTGCCATTTCTCTCATCTTACTCATGCTTGGACAGAGTGGCAGTATTACAGCTTGAAGGCTGGGTATGTCGTGTTCCTATTTGCTGTAGCCTGAGGGAATTGGAGGTTGCAAAGGGCTGGTATCAGATGGAACAACTTGTTGGAGTCCCTTCTGGCCACATGTGAACACAGGTGTTGCCAGGGAATGAGGAAGGCAGGGTGTCCTCTTCCTTTCTTTTCCACACAGCCCCGGAGCCTACATCGTAGTCAGTGCGGGCAGTCCCTGAAGTCCTGTGGGTGAACCAGAGCAGTTATCATGAGCAGAAGAGATGCTTTAAGGATTCTCCGAAATGCAGTTGCTGAGAAATATGCCAGAACGTCGGTTTTAGAAACCAAAGACCGAAGTCTGGATGCAGTTAGACTGGAGTAAGAGCACGGCAGGATGGTGAACAGAACGTATTCAATGACATAACAGAGATGAAAATAGCAAAATCTAGACTGAGAGAAACTCTGCAGGACAAGCTTTGGTTCCGTCAGCAAAAGGATAGCAAGGAAAAAAGAGGGGCAGGAGAAACCTATGGACTGGTAGAGAGTTAAGAGACCTAAAAACCAGTTTCAGGAGTTGGGCCCCATTTGGATCCTGTTCCAAAACAAACTGAAATTTTTTCCTAAGACAATATGTGAAATATTAGGGAAAGACAAACAAATGGTTGGGTATTATCGATATTAAGGATTTAGTTTTCACATTTTAGAATGTGGAATAATGGTATTATTATTGTGTTAAAAGAAAGTCTTTTTAGAGGTATATTCGGAAATACTTACAAGTGGGATTTACTTCACAGTAATCCAGGGGTGAGGCTACAGATGAAACAAATGAAATTTTTGCCTAAAATTTGAATCAATGTTAAAGTGGAAAAATAGAGATATCGGTGGAATTGATTTTTTTTTCCTCAGAAAATTCATTTTAGTGGGCCATATATTTTTCCACACATTTTTTTTCAGTCACGTATTAATGCCTTGCTCTGGGGATAAAGCCATGGATAGGACAGGCAGAGTCCGTGCCCTCAGGAAGCTACATTCTAGATTCTGGAGGGAATGGACAGGAAGCACTAAACCAGTGAAATAAATAAATGTGAAAATATTAGCTGGTGAGATGTACACTGATGAAAATAAGACAATGTGACGTGGCAGTGACTGGCAGGAGGATCTCCAGGGAAGATCTCGTTGAGGACGTATGGTCATCCCCAGTAAGAAAGGTCCTCCATGAATGACATCTTGAATGCCAGGAAGGCGCCAGCCACAGGAGGGTCTAGGCAACGCCGGGCAAGGGGAACAGAGAATGCAAAGAAAGGCTCTGAGGTTGGCGTGCTTGAGGGACAGAAAGAAGGCTAGCGTGGCTGGAGTGTCATGAACAAGTTGTTGGTGATAGGGTGGGAGCCACCAGTCTGACAGGAACAGCATCAGGGCTTCCAGAATACACCAGAAGGGCTACTTTAACTGTGATGAGACGGTCTTTACTGCCTTGTGTCCAGTTTGGGAAGAATGCCCTAATTTTATATTTCTCTTTGTAGTCATGCTCTCAGTATCTTTCTTTTTTTTTTTGAGACAGAGTCTCGCTTTGTTGCCCAGGCTAGAGTGAGTGCCATGGCGTCAGCCTAGCTCACAGCAACCTCAAACTCCTGGGCTCAGGTGATCCTCCTGCCTCAGCCTCCCGAGTAGCTGGGACTACAGGCATGTGCCACCATGTCCAGCTAATATTTTCTATATATTTTTAGTTGTCCAGCTAATTTCTTTCTATTTTTAGTAGAGACGGGGTCTCACTCTTGCTCAGGCTGGTCTTGAACTCCTGACCTCAAGCGATCCCAGCCTATGCTCTCAGTATCTCTTGCCAGGGTGGTGTATTTGTGGGAGAAAGCCCCAAGGAGGTGGTACTTCAGGTACCTGAATTTTAATTACAATTAGGTGGGAAGATGCTTGTTACAGACACTTGGATCTGTTGCTGTCTCCTTTTCAGTGCCATTTCTGTGACAAGGCCTTTATGAACCAAGCTTTTCTACAAAGTCACATTCAGCGCCGCCACCCTGAAGATTCTCACCTTGGTGAGTAATGGGCTCTGTTTCAGCGTTATTCTCTTTCTGCTCCCTTTTTTCTTTTTGCAGCGATACATGGTCCAATGCATTTCTCAATCCTTTGAAAAGAAAGCATCCTAGTCCTTGTTCTTTCAGTAAGTGAACATCAAGCCCTTACTATGCCTGTGCAGGGCACTGGGTGCTGGGGTACAGCCACAAGCAAAACCGGAGTCCTGTTCTCCCGAGTCTTACATTCTAATTGTGGAACTAAGGAGACACATTTAACCAAACAAGCCATTCTTTTCAATGAGGCAGGTGTGATGAAGATCATAATACAGGAGAATAGGGTGGGGAGTGACTCTGGGTGGTCAAGGAAGGCCTCGCCAAGGAGGCAAATATGTATTCTGAGACTGTAAATGAGGAGGAGGTTTCAGCCTGGTGAAAACCTGGGAAAAGAGTGTCCCAGGCCAAGGGATAGCCAGTTGTAAGGGTTGTGAGGGGCAGCAGGCTGCATGTTTGCAGGACGGCGGGAGGCTGGTGCAGGCGAGTGAGTGAGCAAGGCCATGGTGTACTGTGAGGCCAGAGAGGCGGGACCTGCTTACGGAGGCCGTGGGGGCCCTGGGCTGGAATGTGGGTGGAATGGGGAGCTCTTGGAGGATTTTAGGTAGGCAGGGACTTGATCTAAACTGGACCTTAAAATGACCCTGCTAGCTGCAGGCGGACATTACACTGTAGGGTGACAGTGGAAACAGAAGGAGCAGTGAGGAGGCTGTGGCCATGACCCGGTGAGGGAGTTGGTAGCTTCAACTCGTGTGGTCCGGAGCAGGTGGGAGGTGAAGATGGAAAGGATGCATGTGGGCCCAGAGCCCATGGAGGTGTGACTCAGCGTGACAGCAAAAGAGAAGCACAGGTAATCCTGGGTTTCTGTCCTCCGTGTTTGGATGCATGGCAGTGGTGTCTCCTGCCTGGGGTGGGACGCAGTTTGAAGGAGAATGGAGAATTTGTGTTGGCCAAGCGTACATTGACATCACACATACAATAGACGTGCAAGTGGGGGTGCTGGCAGGCTCCAGCTTGAGGTGGAGACCCAGGCTGGAGATCAAAACCCAGGACACGTTTGGCTAGGGCTGGGCTGGCTGAGATCACCTTGACAGAGAAGAGAAGATGGCGAGCCCAGCCCTGAGGCCCTTCCAATGCTAGGAGCTCCAGAAGAGCAGCAGCAGAGAGTGAGACGTAGCCTGTGTCAAGGCAGGAAGGAAACTTAGGGAGTGTGTTGTCATAGAAACCCAGGAAAAAGTATTTTTAAAAGGGTGCAATGGTCGGTTGTATTGAATGTTCCTACCGCGCAGAGTAAGGTGAAGACTGAGAATTGACCACTGTTGTCAAGATGAAGTTGTTGGTGACCTTGACTCAGCAGCTTCAGTGCACTGCAGGGGACAAAAGCCCGATTTTGGCGAGCTGAGCTGAGAATCGTGAGGGAGTGGTCCTATCAGATCCAGACATTGATTTTGGTAACGTTTGCTGGGAAGGAGAGCAGAGACAGGAGGCATCATATGGACATCGTCTGGGACCAAGGGAAAATTTTCATTTTGTTTGATGTGGGAGATACTAAGATGTGTTTGGGTGCTGATGGGAGCCAGAATATAGAGGTTGAAATAAAGATAGAAGAGAGGGGAGGGGCTTGGGGCTTACTATTGAAACGTTCTCAAAGCAAAGAATGCAAGGTGTCTTTCTCCACCAGCAGTTGAAAGCTTTCTATAGATTGCTGCAGTAACCCACAGAATTTCTCGTTCTGGTCTTAAATGTTGGCAGTATCTAGATGTGTGTACTTGGCTTGTTACTTAGTACCTGGGTTCCTTTCCTGCTCATTTCAGGTAAAGAGATTTATTCAGGGAATAGCTAAGCTTTGTAGAAACAAAATAAACAGGATAAAATTCCATTTATAAGCCTTGGACCACTGATAAAATTGAGCAATATATTGGAAAAGTTTGAAATATTTTAATTAATCTATCATTCTTCAGCGTGAAACTGACCTTCTTTCTCTTCTGTTTCAGTATCTTACTCTATCTCATACTCATTCCAGAAAGGGTTTCAGACTCTGAAATGAGTATTATTTCTTCAGGTCATCTTTGAGATTCTGACTTTCTACTTTGGTTTCCATACCTTTCATGTCTGCACTCACAGACACATGTATATCCATTCAGTCATGTGTACATCTGCATGTAAGTACATGTACATAAGTATTCTTCCCTTCACTTGTTGCTTCCTTTTACAACTTTTCAGCCCCTCGCTTTTGCCCCGGTTGATAGGGTATAGTCCAAGTTTGCATTTCAAATGCCAGTGCCAGCCCTCTGCTTGTATTAGCCCTGACCGAGTCCTCAGGAAAGTTCGGTGGGAGCTGGAAGGATTGGTGCCCGTATAGACATGAGCATGGTGGTACCTGCAGTGGAAGCCATTGCTTCCCTCCTCTGAGTGAGACAGGCATCTCTAAGAAGAGCTCAGGGTGCTGCTGGGTCACCATTATTGCTCCCTGAACAGGCCTCTCACACCATCCCTCTAGGATAATCCAACCTCAACACAGCGGCTAAAAGAATCTGCTGAAAATAATTCAGTGCTCCAAAATAAACGAAGCACCCCAAATAAACACTTAAGAGCAAAAATTGGCTCAGGTGGCATGAAACAAGTAATAATATCCCAAGTAAGAGCAGCTTCCTTTGTCCTGTCAGTAGGCTCGTACCCCATATATAAGCTTTCAGATGCTTTTCCTAAGCGTCTGTGTGTTAATGAGATTTTCTGTTGCAACAGAGTATAGGAAAAAGGCACAGACGGATAAGCTCCAGGGTGAGATCGACGTGTTGAAGGAGCAGCTGCAGCTCACCCAGTCTCAGCTGGAGGCCGCACAGCACTCCCACGCAGTCAGACTGTCTAAGGTAAGGGGAAGAATTTGGAAACAAGGGTGTTTTCATTACAGTGGACTGTATGCAATTCAGTTGTGCCAGGGACTCTAATAAACAGATGACACATAGGAGTTTGTACAACTAAATAAAATGTGATTGTATTTTCTATTGCCAGTCTGCTCTTTTTTTTTTTTTTTTGAGACAGAGTCTCGCTTTGTTGCCCAGGCTAGAGTGAGTGCCGTCAGCCTAGCTCACAGCAACCTCAAACTCCTGGGCTCGAGCAATCCTGCTGCCTCAGCCTCCTGAGTAGCTGGGACTACAGGCATGTGCCACCATGCCCGGCTATTTTTTTCTCTATATATTAGTTGGCCAATTAATTTCTTTCTATTTATAGTAGAGATGGGATCTCGCTCTTGCTCAGGCTGGTTTTGAACCCCTGACCTAGAGCAGTCCACCTGCCTCGGCCTCCCAGAGTGCTAGGATTATAGACCAGTCTGCTCTTTAGTATCTCTCTGCCAGACACATCACTGAAAATATAGTTCTCTATTTTTTGAAAGTTTTTTAAAATTGAGGTGAAATTTTCATAACATACAACTTTTTCCCCCCCTTTTGCTTAAAGTAATCTATATTTGTTTTCTTACATTATGTTTTCATGTGTCAGAAGTCTGACCCACTTCACACTGAGCTAAAATCAAGGCGTCAGGAGAGCCATGTTCCTTACTGGAGGCCATAGGAGAGAATATTTGCTGTTCATTTGGTTGTTGGCAGAATTTGGTTCCTGGCAGGTGTAGGGCCAAGGTCCACACCTTCATGCTGGCTGTCTGCTCCTGGTTGCCTTGTAAGGCTGCCCATGCTCCTTGGCTCTGGGTCCTCCTCCTCCATATTCAGAGCCACCAATAGCAGGTCGAGTCCCTCTCATCCATCAGATCTAGTCTGTGATCATCCTTCTCATCTGTTTGACCCATGTGTCAGCCCCATGGGATGCTTGGTTATCTTGCTCAGAGTTACTCGGGGGTAACCAAGGACCGTAGGAGGAAAGAGGGCCATGCTGTGTTAGTTCTGACTGCTGTGGGTCATTGTGGTGGGTCCCGGTACCATGTATGTCATTTCTAATCCAACAGGATTGACCTCGATACACTTAATGCAAAGACTAAGGCCATGAAAGAACATTTCTTTCCTTGTCCCTGTTGAAGTGACAGTATGCTCAGTTCTTCCTTGTTTCCCCCATGGGAAACAAAGTTATACAAGAAATATAACTTTCTAGGGGAAACAGCAGGTCATTTCACAGAATAAGTGACCTCTGTCTTCCACATGGCCTCTCTCTCTCTCTCTCTCTCTCTCTCTGTTTTAAATTGTGGTAAAACACATATAACATAAAACCATCTTAACCTTTTTTTAAGTGTACAGTTCAGTAGTGTTAAGTGTATTCACATTGTTGTACAACCAATCTCCGAAACGTTTTTATATTGCAAAACTGAAACTATATCCATTAAAGAACAATGCTCCACTACCCCCTCCTCCCAGCCCCTGGCAGCCATCATTCTACTTTCTGTCTTTGATTTTGACTACTCTAGATACCATATATGAATGGAATCACATGGCATTTGTCTTTTTGTCACTGGCTTATTTCACTTAGCATAATGTCCTCAAGATTTCTCTATGCTGTAGCATATGTCAGAATTTCCTTGCCCTTCAAGGCTGAATAATATTTCATTGTTTGTGTATGCCACATTTTGTTTATCCATTCATTTGTTGTTGTACACTTGGGTTGCTTCCATTTCTTAGCTCTTGTGAATGATGCTGCTGTGAACATGGGTGTTCTAATGTCTCTTTGAGACAGTTAACCATTTTACAGTGTATAATTCAGTAGCATTTAGTATATTCACAATATTGTGCAGCTACCAACTCTCTAGTTTCAAAATTTTTTTCAGCACCCCAGAAAAATAACCTGTACCCATTAAGTAATCACTCCCACTATCCCTCTGGTAACCACTAATCTTTTTGTCTCTGAAATTGCCTGTTCTGCATGTATCACACACACACACAAAAAAAACAATGTAATGTGTAACCTCTCGTGTCAGGCTTTTTTCACTTGGTATAATGTTTTTGAGGTTCATCTAAGTTGTAGCATGTATCAGTACTTTGTTCTGTCTTATTGCTGAATAATAGTCCATTATGTATATGTAGATACCATAATTTGTTTATCCAGTCATCTGCTGGTAGACATTAGGTTTGTTTCTACCTCTTGGCTGTGATGAATAATGCTGCTATAAACATTTGTCTGGAAGTTTCTATGTGGTCATTTTTCTCAAGTATATACCTAGGAGTGGAATTGCCGGGTCATACGATAATCCTATGTTCAACTTTTTGAAGAACCACCAAACTGTTTCCACATTAGCCACACCATTTTGTGTTTCTACCAGTAATGTTCATATTTCTTCACATTTTCATTAACACTTGTTATGCTTTGTTTTCTTAAAGCCATACTAGTGAGTGTGAAGTGATACCTCAGTTTTGATTTGTACTTTTGATTTGTAATAACCAGTGATGTTGAACATCTCTCCATGTGCTGTTGTTCATTTCTAATCTTTCTTTGCTGGTATTTTTATTTATTTGTTTTTTAAATTTTTTTAAATTTCAAAATAGTAAGGGGTTACAACTGTTTCTGTTACACAGACGCCTTGTATAATGCTTAAGTCAGAGCTTTTAGTCTGCCCATCACCACATTTCTATATCTTATTTGGAGAAATGTGTATTCAAGTCCTTTGCCCATTTTTTAATTGGATTGTTTGGGTGTTTTTTTTTTGTTTTTGAGTTGTAAGAATTCTTTATATACTCTGATAGTTTCATAGCTTTTGCTCTTATATTTAGATTCTTGATCCATTTTGAGTTAATTTTTTGCATATAGAGGGAGGTAGCTAGCGGTCCAGCTTTATTCTTTTGCATGTGGTTATTCAGTTGTCCCAGCACCATTTATTGAAGACACTAATTTTTCCCCATTGAATATTCTAGGCACCCTTGTTGAAAATCAGTGGCATAGATATTTGGGTTTGTTTCTGGACTCTGTTCCATTCCATTGGTCTTTATGTCGGTCCTTATGCGAATACCACATTATTTTGATTACTCTGGCTTCGTAGTAGTTGTTGAAATCTTTATTTCAACAACTGTGTGTCTTCCAACTTTATTCTTTTTCAATACTGTTTTGGTTATTTGGGACCCCTTGCAGTTCTGGGTGATTCTGACGACTGGTTTTTCCATTTCAGCAAAGAAGGCTATTGGAATGGGATTATAATGAATCTGTTGATTGCTTTGAGAGTAATGCCATTTTAACAATATTAATTCTTCCAGTACATCAATATGGGATGTCTTTCCATTTATTTAGCTGTTCTTTAATTTTTCAACAATGTTTTATAGTTTTCAGTATACAAGTCTTTCACCCTTTAGGTTAAATTTATTCTTAGGTATTTTATTCTTTTGGATACTATTGTAAATGGAATTGTTTTCCTCATTTCCTTTTTGGATTAATCATTCCTGGTACAGAGAAACAACTAGTTTTTGCATATTGACCTTGAACTCTGCAGTTTTGCTGAATGTTTATCACTTTACTAGGTTTTTTTTTGTAGGTTCTTTCTATGTGAGATTCTTTAAATGCTTGATAAAATTCACCAGTAAAGCCAACAGGTCCTGGATTTTTCTATTTTGGAAGGCTTGTGATTACTGAGTATAACTCTTTACTTGTTGAAAGTCTGTTGAGATTTTCTTTCTCTTCTTGAGTCAGCTTTGGTAATTTTTGTGTTTCTGGGAATTTGTCCATTTTGTCTAGATTATCTAATTTGTTGTTGTATAAGTTCATCATATTCTTTTACAATCCTTTTAATTTCCCTAAGGTCAATAGTAATGTCCTCACTTTAATTTCTTAGATTAGCTAAAGGTTTGTCAATTTTGTTGATCTTTGCAAAGATCCAACTTTTGGTTTCATTGATTCCCTTTTCTGCTTTTCTGTTTTCTATTTTCTCTTTGTTCTAATCTTATTTTCTTCCTTCTATTGGCTTTGGGTTTGGTTTGCTTATTTTCTTCCTTCTACTGGCTTTGGGTTTGGTTTGCTTATCTTCTTCTAGTTCCCTAGGGTATAAAAGTTAGGTTGTTGATTTAAGATCTGTCTTCTTTTTATGTGTAGGCTTTTATAGCTATAAATTTCCCTGTGAGCACTGATTTTGCTGCATCCCACAAGTTTTAGTATACTGTATTTTCATTCCTTCTTCTAAAACTATTTACTAATTTCCTTAATGAGATTTTCTTTGACCCATTGGCTGTTTAAGAATGTGTTGTTTAATTTCCATGTATTTGCCAGTTTTCTAGTTTTCCTTCTGTTATTGATTTCTGGTTTCATTCTATTGTGATCAGAGAAGATTCCTTGCATGATTTTAATTTTTTTAAATTTGAGAAGCACTTTCTGGACTAACATTTGCTCTCTCCTGGTGACTGTTGCAGGTACATTTAAGAAGAATGCATATTCTGACTTTTTTGGGTGTAGTGTTCCGTGCATGTCTGTTAGGTCCAGTCGGTTTATAGTGTTGTTCAAGTCCTCAATTTATATTAGCAAAACCTTGTCATTGAGAAATCAAGTGCTGAGTGACTAGACCTTTGAATCTAGCACCTATGAATCTGAATTTGTCTTTTCTGGGGGTGGGAAGGGGTTACTCTACCCAAACTGATACACTGCTGGGAAAAATTCTGCTACTGCTTAGTAGACTTTTTCTTTTAAAGTATGTTTACATTTTACATATTAATGTATGACTTCTATACAAGTTCACAGAACACAGAAAGCTGGAGACCTTGGGCCTCTGCATTTGTTGGTATTTTAACTTATGTAGGGACAGGAGGATGGTGTGTGCTGCCTTTAGTTTAGAAAAATCATTGTGCACAGATCTGCCATTATAGGAAGTGTTATTACAAGCCTAACTCAAATAAGCAATTCTAGCCAACACATTTGAGGTGAGCCTACAACCATTTTTGCCCCATACCAGAACTTTTAAAGCCATGTATTAAAATAATTTCAGGAATATGAAATGCAAAAAACAAAAGAGCAAGACTTTCTGAAGTTATTTGATAGATGGAAAGAAGAAGAAAAGGAGAAACTGGTTGATGAAATGGAAAAAGTCAAGGAGATGTTCATGAAGGAGTTTAAAGAATTAACTTCCAAGAATTCAGCACTAGAATATGTAAGTATTAAACATAGAAGTTCTCATGGTATTGGTTGCCTTGAGGGGTGGTGTTAGGTGGGCATTATGGGCCAGGGGATGGAGGGATTACTTTAGGGTGCCCTGGTGCAGACATCCTCCTCCCTGAGAGTCTTGAGGGGCAGCATGATGCACACGAGGACAGAGTAAGTCCGAGATGTTGTTTTGCTAAGGGTGGGAGCTTTGACCCAAACCCCAGTGCGGAATACTCGTGGGGTGCATTCAGTCAGATCATAGAAGAGGGTCCCTCTTTTCTTATCTGGTTAGGTTAGCCTTGAACCCTAAACCCCCCTCCCTGAGTTTTGGAACTTCCCACTATCTTGTGGGAGGAGAAGGAAGCAGATCCAGAGAGACAGAGCCAGAACCTTTGCCTGTCCCCTCCTCAGCCAGGCTTGGCTGTACAGGAGCAAGCAGGATATGGCTACATGAGCCCCACTCCCTATGGGGACAGCCCTGGTCCACACTGCCCTGGTCACATGCACGGATGACACTTGAGCTCCTTCCTCAGAAAGCGGCCAGTGTCCGATCGCTAAGAATTCCAAGCTCACCTGCAGATTTGATCTGAAGCCTCTTTGGGGGAAAATGAAGGGAGCTGAGCGAAGGTCCTTGAGCTCCCTCTAGGGGCCAAAAAGTTCTATAACTAAAAATAGAGGGATATTTTTGGAATTCTGCTAAGGTCCTTCTCTAAAACTCTTTATTACTCCATCGTGGGGGTGGGCAAGCTATGGCCCACGGACTGAATCTGTCACACCACGTGTTTTCATATGGCCTGGTGGCTAAGAATGGTTTTTCCATATTTAAATGGTTGGAAAAAACAAAGACTATTAAGTGACTCGTGAAAATTACATGAAATTCACATTTCAGTGTCCATAAGTGAAGTTTTATTGGGATACAACTGTGCTTATTCATTTACACTCTACCTGTGGTGCTTTTGTGCTGGAGTGGTAGTGTTGAATGTTTTGTCTCAGACCTTGTGTCATAAATCTATGTGATTTATGACTGTCAATGTTGACCATGAGCACCTGGCTGAGGTAGTGTTTGTCAGGTTTCTCCACTGAAAAGTGACTCCTTTTCCCCCCTTTCCATGCTGTACTATTTATGTATTTATTTTTGAAACAAGATATTGCTCTGTCACCCAAGCTGGAGTGCAGTGGCCTCATCATACATAGCTCTTTGCAGCCTTGAACTCCTGGGCTCAAGTCATTCTCCTGTCTCAGCCTCCCAAGTAGCTAGTACTATGGGCATGCACCACCACGCACAGCTAATTTTTTTGTAGACCTAGAGTCTCACTGTGTTGCCCAGGCTGGTCTCAAACTCCTGGGCTCAAATGATCCTCCTGCCTGCCCCAACATCCCAAAGTGTTGGCATTACAGGAGTGAGCCACTGAGCCTGGCTCGTATTGCACTTTTTAAAATGAAGTCACTAGGAGCAGCCCACACTTAAGGAGTGAAGAAATATGCTCCTCCATCCTTTTGTTTTTGAAGTTAACATTTTACCTTCTGTGGTTTTTAAGGGGTTTTGCTGCAAGTAACTTTGGCAATCACATCAAAAGCGAAGGGTAGAATTAAAATGTCATGTCCCTTTCCAGATCAGGCATTCCTATTAAAAAAAGAAAAAAAAAAAAAAGAAAAAAAAATGTCATGTCCCTAATGGATTTACTGGACAGTGTTAGCCTCTTACTAAATTATAGTATCTTAAGAACCATCTGCACCCAGTTCTTCTGTTTCTGGTACCTGTCATATGCCCATCAAATTTTTTAAGACCCATTGTCCAAGAAAGTTAGGTTTTTCTTTCCGTTTTTCACCCTGTACGTGTTCTGTTGGAAAAACCAGAAAACAGTAGAAACAAGCCAGTCAAACCACGGGGAAGGGGATGGGGGGGAACAAGGAGCATCTAGGAGAACAGTCAACTGCAAAATGTGGCTGCATGCACCCCAATTTTATTCTCTGTTCCCGTCTTACAAAAGTCTAGCATTTTACTGGTGGTCTTGAATTTTATCTTACAGCAACTGTCAGAAATCCAGAAGTCCAATATGCAGATTAAGTCCAACATAGGCACATTGAAAGATGCACACGAGTTTAAAGAAGACCGTTCTCCATACCCCCAGGATTTCCAAAATGTGATGCAGCTTCTAGACAGTCAGGTATGTAGAAGTGAGTGCCCACGGCAGTCCATGCCTTCCTTTTTCTTAGTGGAGTGATTGTCGAATGTCGTCTGCAGAAAAAGTGTTTGTCTCTTTCAGTGACTGTGAAGATGACTAGCTCCATCTTTCTTGTCTCCTAAAACATGGAGCTTAGCTATAACAGACGCTCATTACATGCTTGCTGTGGACTAATAAATGTGGATATACAACAGTTGGCAAAACAATTTAATTTCTTCCCTGATGTAATACCAATTTGAATTAGTTAGGATTACTTAGTACTTATGTTTTTGTATTTTAGATGTAGCTCTCTATTTCCAAAGGCATAGAAAGGCACATTAAAGCACCAGATTTATTTTTAGAGCTTAAATAGACCGCTACATTGGTGAACTGAGGATCTTTTACATTTATGGAACAGAATAACTTTCATTTGGAAGTGAACCCTTGTCATCAGCACAATCTTCATAAGGGCTACTTTGGTCACAGTGGTTTAGAGGAACAATTTTTTTTTGCCAGGAAACAAACAGAGATTATATTTTATGAATTTAAGATTTAAAAAAAAAATAAGCCTGTGTCATTATAAAAAAGAGAAGTGGGTTTTGAAAATAGGGACTGCTGCTGCTTGTTTTCATGCCTGTATCCTGCTGCCCTCCACCAAATCTGCCTTCTCCATTGCAGCCAGGCTGATCACATCCCTGTCCTGTCTAAAGTCCTTCAGTGACCTCCCAGTTTTCACAAAAAGAAGTACAGAATCCTTAGCGCACAGGCCCCTTCAAGGTTTGGACCCTGTGCCATCTCCCAGCGTTCTTTGCTTTTCCTGATGCTGGAGAGGCCCCGGCAGCCAGTGCTTCATAGAACACGGTCACTCTGTTGCCCGCGCTGGAGTGCCGTGGCGTCAGCCTCACTCGCAGCAACCTCAAACTCCTGGGCTCAAGCAGTCCTCCTGCCTCAGCCTCCCGAGTGGCTGGGACTACAGGCATGTGCCACCATGCCTGGATAATTTTTTCTATATATTTGTAGTTGGCCAATTAATTTCTTTCTATTTATAGTAGAGACAGGGTCTCGCTCTTGCTCAGGCTGGTCTTGAACTCCTGACCTTGACCCATCCGCCCGCCTCGGCCTCCCAGAGTGCTGGGATTACAGGCGTGAGCCACCTCGCCCGGCCTCCAGATGCTTTCTTACCTGTCTTGCATCTCCCAGTTTTCAGGACCCATCTCTTACTCATCCTCCAGCGTTCAGCCAGGATGGTACCTCTTCCAGAGAGTTCTCCTGAACCTCAGGCTATGACATTTCTGTAGTGCCGTACGTGGGACCTGAGCACATATACATTATAAGGGAGTTCTCTATCGCTGTGTCCACTTTCCTCCTGTGCAGAGCAAGGCCTGTCTCTTAATTCTCCAGTAACCTGCTGTGGCCGCCCAGCAAAGTGCCTGGTACCTGGTGGGAGACCAGGAGCTGTGTCCTGAACTGAACTGTTGAATGTCACTCCCAGCAGGCTGGAAACCACAGCTCTTCTCTCATGAATTGACAGGACGTGGTTATGAAATGCTAAGGTCCCACCTACATTTTTTTCTGTTACCTTCCTGTCAGCTGTGTTGTCAGTTTGCAGCCCATGGACTCAGAAGAAACCTTGATGTTTCCTTTTGGCCGTTTAGGTTGGCAAACTAGCACCTATTTCTATAAATAAAATTTTATTGGGACTCAGCCACACTCATTCATTTGCATCTTTTTTTGTTTTTATTGTTTTTTTGTTTTGAGACAGAGTCTCAGTCTGTTGCCCAGGCTAGAGTGAGTGCCATGACATCAGCCTTGCTCACAGCAACCTCAATCTCCTGGGCTCAAGCGATCCTCCTGCCTCAGCCTCCCGAGTAGCTGGGACTACAGGCATGTGCCACCATGCCCAGCCAAGTTTTTCTATATGTTTTTAGTTGGCCAATTAATTTCTTTCTATTTATAGTAGAGACGGGGGTCTCGCTCTTGCTCAGGCTGGTCTCGAACTGCAGACTTCGAGCGATCCTCCTGCCTCGGCCTCCCAGAGTGCTAGGATAACAGGCGTGAGCCACCGCGCCCGGCCTATTTTTAATTTTATTTATTTATTTATTTATTTTTTTTTTGAGACAAAGTCTTGCTCTGTCACCCAGACTGGAGTGTAGTGGTGCAATCATAGCTCATTGTAACCTGGAATTCCTGGGCTCAAGCAGTCCTCCTGCCTTAGCCTCCTGAGTAACTGGGACTACAGGTGTGCACCACCGTGCTTGGCTAATTTTTAAAATATTTTGCAGAGACAAGGTCTCACTGTTTTGCCCAGGCTGGTCTCGAATTCCTGGCCTCAGGCGATCCTCTGCCTCGACTTCCCAAAGTGCTGGGATTACAGGCCTGAGCCACCATACCCGGCCTGGACCTTACCTATGCCTGTCCTCTCAATACCAGTAATTGAGACTGTATTTGGCCCCAGAACCTGAAATATTTACTATTAGGTTTTTAATGGAAAACCTTTGCTGTCCCCTGCCTTACAATATAAGATTAAAAACAGGTGCAGCTATGTTTAAACATTTTTGACTGGATACATACTAAAAAAATACCAGCTAAAATTTTACCAGACAGATATTTGGGTTTCATAGGTACCCACTGAAAAGGAAGCTTCCATTTTGTGTAGGTTTTACTGTTACAGTTGCACATAAATTACTCTTTTATTCCTTTGTAGGAAAGCAAGTGGACGGCACGAGTTCAAGCTCTTCAACAAGAACACAAGAAAGAGAAGGATCGGGTAAGATCAAGAAACCGGTGGCCTATAATAAGTAGATCATTTTTGAAAAGAATATATTTGTTTTTCTTCATATGAAAGGTACTATTTGTCCACTTAAGATTTGTGGGGAAATGTGTAACAAAATTAAAATTATTTATAATTCCAATACCAGAGCTATCACTGCTGCTACTTTGGTATAATTTTTCAGCTTTCTTTCTATGCTATATATGTTGCATTTCTATAAGTATAGAACCACATAGATACGTAGTAGTCTTACAGCATTTGAATTATGCTTTAGATCTAAAGTTTCTATACTTTTCACTTAATATATCATCAAGCTTTTCCTGTGTTTTAAAAGATGGGTGAGGAATCTTTTCATCTTGGAAGGCCGCATTAACTTAGCTATAATCAAATGAGGCTGCATTCAAGGAACTTCAATTAGATATACTTAAAAAATGTACATTATGTTAGAATGAATATGTTAGAAAAAAATGTACATTATGTTTTTACAAAATGTTAGATTTTGTAAAAATCTAACTGTTATGTACTTAATAATTTCAGAAAATTAGACCTATTTGTTAATTTTCAAGTTAACTAACCTTTTAGTGACTTTATTGTGTCCGCTTTTTGTTGGAAAGGATTTGAATGTTTGGTTGCAGCATGGACGTCCACAGTTTCAGTTGATCCTCTAGATGGGTATTAGTCACTTGTGACCTTAAGGGCATCTTGATTTGGGTTAGGTAGGAGAATGTAGATTCACAGCGATAAGTGGTTGGAAAGCAAGAAAGCATTTTTCAGGCGTGTTGTGGAAGGTGTGGGTATTCTGCATTTTTCCATATTTCAACTGGATCTTTCTCAGCATCAGACAATGACTTTAAAATGCCATCTACTGAGATCTCAATCAATTCCATCTGTAGTTCTTTAGCTGCCTTGGTGATATCAACTAGGTGAGGCTGAAATGCTAATTTGAGTGTGACGGTATGATTCTCAAAGTCAGTGAACTTTTCATTGAATTCTCCAATTAATAGATCTTATAACAGCTGCGTATTCTTCAAATAATTCACATATATCATCCTGCTCATCAATGACCTTTGCTAAGTGGGGAAAATGTTCATCCAGAATTTCCTTTGGAAGAAGTGTTTTGAAAAAGGACAGCTTTTTTTTTTTTTTTAAATGTTTGGATTTTTTTTGCCACATATCATATTTAGACTTTGTTTTACCTTGCAAAGAAATATTTGTTTTGATATGACATGATATCACACAGAAACAGTGCATTCCTATAGAAATCTTTTAATAATTCACATTGCTGATTCTGTTCTTCATAAAATTTAACTGTCTGTTCTCTCAGAGATAAAATTTTGGCTAACACCTGTCCCAGTGATAGCCAACACACTTTAGAATGATATGGCAAATCCACACCGAACACCTCATTGTTCAACTTCACCATGTTATGAAACTGATGTTGCCATGTTGCATTTGCATGAATGTAGTTAACAATCCTTATAACTTGATGCAAAGTGTCACTTAAAATAGTGGCTTTAGCACAGAGATTTTGCTGATGCTATCTTGCGTCTATGAAAAGAAATGAGGACATCTGGCTCTGTTAATACTTTTTATATAGGTGCAATCAACCCTTCATGTTTTCCTGTCATGGAAGGCGCACCATCTGTACAAACGCTCACAAAATTTACCAAATTCAGTCCAAGTTCATGATAATTACCTTGAAAGTTGTTGAAGATATCTATTCCTAGTGTTCTGTTCCTAAGAGTGCCCAAAGGAAGTACTGTTCATAGCAAAGAAAATCTTTTGTTACGACCTGCATGAAGTATAAAATCTACGCCAAGTCAGTAGTATTAGTTGATTCATCCAAAGTGATTAAATGATATATATTTTCCTTTTGAAGTATTGCATGAAGTTCTGTGAAGTCGAAGGCTAATTCATGCTGCTGATCAGTTATGGTTCTCCTTGAAATAACCAACAAAGCAGTTGTTTGTACTTTGAAACTTTATTGGGATCTAAGCATCCTACAGCTTGGACAATGTATTCTTTCACGATTTCTATATCACTGAATGGCTTCCCTTTGTTTCTGAGTATATAAGCAAGCTACTTTATATGTTGCTTCACTGGCATTATTTCCAAGTCTTATTGCTGCTTGAAACAATTGTCCTTGTTTTTGCTTTTCATCTTTTAATTTCTGCAATACAAACTTTCACACCTCTCCTGCTAATTTAAAATATTTGTGGCCCTTATGAGTGTTATAATGCTGATGAGCATTGAATTTCTTTAATGTTGCTATTGTAGTATCACAAAGCAAGCAAATAATCTTAAATTTAGCAGAAACAAGATATTCCCAATCCTCATTTAAAAAATCTGTTTTCTTCCTTCAGCGTTCTTTTTGTCTTCTTTGACATGAAGGTGTGTTAAGCAGACAGAATTAAAAAATACTGTTGAGCTGTGCAACTATCCACAATTTCCACTTCAGACAGAAACACAGTGCACCACTGTCAAAAGCTGTTAACAGACTGGCATACTTGACTCCCATAAACTCTCGCCAACCTGCCCCATGCGGTAGTGGTGCCACTCAGGCGGGGGAAGTTAGAACTAAGTCATGAGTGTAGTAGGCATCACCCTTATGGCTTACTAATGTTCTAATTGTGCCAGTCAATCTGGGAGGATTATTTCTTTGAAACTTACTTTATTCTTTGGTATTTTAAATACGTTCATCTTAAAAATAAAATAAAAATATAAAAGATGAACAAAAATATATTAATAAAAATAAAAGGATTTGTTTTGTAAAATTTGGATTCAGTCAAAAGGACACATCTGGGCTTAAAGCCACAGGTTCCCCACCCCTGTTTTAAAATATTCTTTGAAATCATGACTTTAAATGGCTACATGATGATCTTATGGATGTATTACAAGTTATTTGACCATTTCTTCATTTTTCTGATTTTTTTCACACTACAGAGTTGCAGTGCAAATGATTATTAAATAAAGGCAAGGACTATTCAAATTAAAATCACTTTAATGAAAACAAAATTTAATAATGACACTGATTTCCTTTCACCTGAGTACATCAGAATTTAAAGTGTTACAATGTGTTTACGCCATTGCAAGAAAATTTGTTTATTTTTTTCACTTGAAATTGTATTTCGTAACTTTGTATCCCTTGTAAACCTTTTCTGAGTGGAGAAAAATGTTTCCTTTTCTGCACATTTCCTACAATGACCTTTCTTAGTATAGTACCAAGCAGAGGGTCATACGACAAAAGGTCATATAATACATGTGTGTATAGTAGCTAGGATGAAGAGTGTTCATGTGACCACAAGGCTTATCAGTTTATATTTCTCCAAAGTAGGACATATACTAAGGAAGAACAACAACAAAAAAGAGAACCATAAAAAGTTCTAGAGCCCAAACTAAAGCAAAGCAAACAAAAAATAAAAAACTTCACCAGACACCTGTAGTTTTTGAGAAACTTCAGTGGGAAAATCAAGATATTAATCTACCTTTAAAATTGTATCATTGCTAGAAAAGGAAATAAGAGCCATGATTTGTTTTCCTCTTCCATTTGTAATATTATTTAGTCATGTAAGTCATTCATAGTGTTTATACATAGACACATACACACAAATACACGTATCTAGGTACATGTACAATAGTTTATATTGAAAATTGAATTCGCCAATGCAGTGATCCACTGTGTACAACACTCTGTAGGGCTAAAAAGAGATACAAAAAACAATCCCTGCCCTCAGGTTGCTTGCAGTACGGCAGGAGGGAAGAAGTGAGGCCATGGATACCCAATGGGAGTTGGGTGGGAGAATTGTAGAGTGCTCTTCGGAGAGTCTGCTAAAGGGGAGTGGGGGCTACGTGTGGTTCACACCCATGTGGATGTCTTCCGCCAAAATCACCCTGCTGAGCTCCAGATCTGGTAGCCAGCTTTGAAGTTGACATCTCCATGGGCCTCTCAAACGTTGCTACGATGAAGTTCTTGGGTTTGTTCCCAGATATGGAAGCTGGCACCCTGGTTCCCCCAGATGCTCATTCCATATCTCTCCTTCTGTCCCCAAGCCCAGGCCACTGGCAGGTCCTGCCATATATCTCACGCCCCTGTCCTTTCTGTACGTTTCCGTTGCCTCTACCCTTACCCAAGCCTCCATCGTTTCTTAAAGGGCCCCAGTAGCTGTTCTTCCTTGTTCCAGCCTTCCCCTTTCTTAATCTGTTCTCCACAGAGTGGGCAAGAAGGTCTGGCTGCTGGCTGCCACTATAGCCTCAGCCTGATCTTCTCTCTCTCTCTGAACCTCCTCTTTCTAGCAACAATGGCCTTCTGGTAATTTCTAGAACATTCTGTTTCTTTATACACGGTTTTCATGCTGGAAAGCCCTTCCACCTGCCCTTTACATGGCTGGCTCCTTCCCCTCGGTGTGAGTTTTCTACACTGTATAGCAAATTACCACAACTGAGTGACTTAAAACAACATGCCATTTCTTACCACGCTACCCACGGGATGGTCCAGGCACGGCTGGGCTGGGCTCAGGGAATCACGAGCTGCGTTCAGAGCGTCAGCCGGGCTGTGTCCTCATCTGGAGCTCCTTGTGGTTAACGGAAGGGCTGAGACCCTGGGCTCCCAGCTGCCACCCCTGCTCCATACAGCTCACAGCCTGGCTGTTCATGTCTTCAAGGCCAGCTAAAAGACTCTCCCGCCTTTCATTCTCCCCCTTCCAGTGAGGCCTGGAATTGCTTTCAAAGGGCTCACCTGAATAGGACAGGCCCACATAGTGTAATCTTCCTTTTCATTAACTCGAAGTCAGCAAATTAGGGACCTTAATTTCTTATGCAAAGTCCCTTCACCATTGTCGGGTTCTGCTGGTGACAAGCATGTCACAGGTCCTGCCCGACCCCAGGGACCACATCACACAGGGCCCACATGCCAGCAAGTGCCGCCCGAGCGCCATCTGGGAGTTCTGTACCTTCCTCTGGCCTCCGTTTTCTGGTCCAACCTGATGTCACTCCATCTGAGTAGGCAGTCCCTTCCCTTTTCTCACCACTTCACAATTGCAGCTCTGATCACCATTTTAAACAGTTTGCTTGTTTATTGTCTGTCTCTTTGACCCTATCATTCATTAGCCCTCTAGGGAAAGGCTTTATTTAGCTCTCCAGTGTCTCCCTGGCACCCACTAACGTGCCTAAAATGTGGTTGGCCCTCGTTAAATACTTGCTGAACGAACGTGGAAGGAAGCCAGGCGTCCAACAGAGGATCGTCCGGCCTTGTTTTTGTAGACGGAGAAATGCCAGTTGTAGAGTTCAGAGGAGTAGGGTTGAAAGGGTTTTCTGTGGGTCTGAGCACCATCTGCTGCAGGACACTAGTCTAGGTTTCCATCGTGGACCTGGGAGCCATGACTGTGATGACTGTGTAGTTACGACACTGATGGTCACTTCCCAGCATGTTTTATCTGTGGCGGCAGAGATGCAGGATCCCAGGATCAGTAAATGGTATTAATAGTTTCTCTGCACCATAGGTGGCTCCACTGTGCAAGGAGTGTTCGCTCTTGTCCATCTGTGTTATGTGGAAATAAACGTGGCCTGTTATTACGGTTCATGTACTGGTGTCCCGGCGCTGGCCCATATTGGCTTGTGAATGCACACATTTCTTCTTAATCAGAGTTTTGTTTTTTGAAAGCTGCTTAACCAGCACACCAGTGGACTCACAGTAGGAGCATTTAGAAATAAATTATGTGTTTGTAGTTACTATGTACTTAATCCTTGTAATATTTCTGTGAGGCAGGTACTGCTACAGGTAGGTACCATTTGACCGATGAGGAAACAGAGGCTTAGGAAGATGCTGTCTTTTGCCCAAGGTTGCTAGCGCTTGAATCCAGGCCCCTTCTACTTTGAGGGCTTACTGTACGCTCTGGCTCTGGGCACTGAGCCAGCACACGGGAAGAACAGGCAGCCACAGCTTCAAGATGTTGCTTTTCTGTTAAGGACAAAGGCTCTTTTCCTTCAAGATGCTCGAAGGCAGGCGTCCTCACACTACGGCCCCGCGGGCCACATGCGGGTATTTTTGCCCGTTTGTTTTTTTACTTCAAAATAAGATATGTGCAGTGTGCATAGGAATTTGTTCATAGTTTTTTGTTTTTTTTTTTTGAACTATAGTCCGGCCCTCCAACGGTCTGAGGGACAGTGAACTGGCCCCCTGTTTAAAAAGTTTGAGGACCCCTGCTCTAAGGTAGTAGTTCCTAACCAGGGATGCACTTGAGAATTATCCGAGACTTCCAAAGTACACATTCCCAGCTCTACTCTCGAAGAAGATTCTGACTCAGTAGGTAATCTGGGAAATGCAGATTTTGGAAAAAACAAACCAGAAACCTCAGCTATTCCGTTTTGGAGCCATGGTTTGAACCACTGCTCTTCGATCACTGAAGTCCCTGTTCTTCACGGCATCTTGATAGCATTGATTGGTATTTAGGGACAGAATTCAGGTTTCCTTATTGATAGGAGGTGATTGTTTTAATCCCTGCTCATTGAAAGCCCACTGTGTTCCAGGCAGCTGTGGAAATGTCAGTGGTCTTCTGGCTGGAATAGACTGGTAGCTGCAGTTTTTACACTTGGTCACTGCAAGTCATGATGGAAAGACTTACTGTTGGGGGTACGGAGGCAGAAGGTGAGGCTTCTCCCGGTTGCAGGCGAGGTGCGCGCCTCGAGTGCTGGGAGCGTGGGAGTTCCTGTGCCACCGCCAGGCTTCGCTGCTCCCTCGTCAGCTTTGGCTGTTCAGAAGCTGCTTACTTCTCCCTTCTTTTCTCTTAAACCCTAACAGAGGGGTGAATTCAATCAGGTTTGGTAATCTCTGCCTGAGACCTAACTATTAATTATTCCACATGATTGGTGCCTACTGTTCCCACAATGCACATATTGTATTTCTCTGTTTAGGGGAAGTTGCATTTGCCAACTTTTTATTGCTTTACCTAGATTCTTGGCAGTCTTTTTTTTTTTTTTTAAATAACACTGGTAGGAGTTCAAAGGGAGTCACAGGTAAGTGATGGCATGCCCTTTTGACCAAACAGAAGACTCTTAAGAGCTCGGGAGGTTGTGGAATGGTCACATAAAGTCAGGAAGGGAGGATGGGGTGATGTGCACGGTGGAGAAAGGACTAGAATGTGAAGTGGGAGGATCACAAAAACGGGCTCATGGGCTGCAAACTTATTGAAATAATTTCTGGCTGTCTCTTGTTTTCTGCACTTTTCTGGTCCATTCTTAACTCCTATGTCAAAGTGATGTCATTCCTTACTTTTTCTTTTTTCCTCCTTTCCTGGGGCAACTCTCAATATTATTGATCAGGTCCAAGACTCTAAACCTCCACCCAGAACCCTGGACATTTTTCCTGGCTTTTCCCTCTATTTTTCTGGCTTAGCATTTCCTAGGTTGCTTTGGGGGTTACTGTTTTACAGGGTTACTTTTACAGGGATCTGTAAAAATGTAGTGAAAGTTCTTGACAGCTTGTCCAGCCTCAAAGGAGCAAGAGCACTTCAGAGGCAGGACTGTGCATTGTGTGTTGACTGGGAGCATTGATTTGGAAGCGGACATAGACATTCAATGCTGGGCTCTGCTCCCTCCAGCTATCTGAATTTGGGTCAATTCACCACTCTAGACTTGAGATTTCTCATCTGTACAATGGAGCCAAAACAGGTATCCACAATATTGTGGTGTGGGTTAAACAAGATAAAGTGCTTAACATAGCACTTAACACATAGTGAATGTCAATTTAAAAAAAAAACAAAAACAGGCGAATTAGGAAATGCTGGTCTAGGTGCTCTTATATACTCATCTCAGACGTAGCTACTTCCTACCCCTCTATTTGATCTGCACATTCTGTCTCCACTTCCAGGCCTTAGACTTGGAATGTCCTTTGTCACAATTACCAAGTTTTTTTTTTTTTTTTGAGACAAGGTCTCCCTCTGTATCCCTGGCTGGAGTGCAGTGGTGTGATCACAGCCCACTGCAGCCTGGAACTCCTGAGCTCAAACGATCCTCCTGCCTCGGCCTCTGGAGCAGCTAGGACTGCAAGCTCATACCAGTACACCTGTCTAATTTTTAAAATTTTTTGTAGAGATGATGAGTCTTGCTGTGTTGCCCAGGCTGACCCTGAACTCCTGGCCTCAAACAATACTCCCACCTTGGCCGCCCAAAGTGCTGCAATTACAGGTGTGAGTCTGGCCTCAAGCTTTTTTGTTGTTTGTTTTTTATTTTTATTTTTTTTTCACCAATTTTTATTTATTTATTTATTGTTGTTTGTTTTTTAAACCTCTCTGTTTAAACAACTACTGAAATAGCTTTAAGAGCCTTTTTAAAAATTATTGAAAATAAATTCTTCTTGAATTCTTTTTGTCCCATATATGGTCTTCCCTGACATTAAGTCTCTAAAGATGAGTCCCTGACATTAAGTCTCTCTATGTTCTTGGTCCTCTGTATCCTGGCATCTCTCCTTTTTTTTCCCCCTCCTTTCCTCTTTCCTCTCCTCCCTCCTCTCTCTTTTCCTCTAGTCCCCACCATCCCTCTTTGTTTTCTCAGTAAACGTTTATTGAGAACCTGCTAAGGGCCAGGGATTATGCCAGTTGCTGGGAATATAAAGATAAGTAAGATGTGCTCTTGGGCCCAGGGTGTGGCACATGTGGAGGGCACGTGGGGAGGGCAGGACTGCATGGCAGTGCAGTGTGGTGGCGTGGGCACAGCTCTGGGAGAAGAGGAGCTCTGAGAGAGAAGCCTTCACCCTTTACCCTTGCTCCTTGTGTGTTATTCCATGTAACGTGCTCAAGTTGGCTCAGCCGCCCACAGTATCAGTGCTGTGTCTGTCTTGGGTCTCAAACTCCCTGGGAACCCAGAAGAAGCACCTGGTACAGCCAGGGCCTCAGTCAAAGATTGACTTGATGTGCTTAGAGGGCATAATGCCACTTGATGTGCACAGAGAGCATAAGACCAGCAAAGAAGGCAGGGCACATGGATAAAATCTACAGAATGAAGAGATTTTGTGTGCAGCTTGCAGACCGATGCCTTTCTTAATTTTTTTTTTTCAGCTCCTGTCACATATAGAGAAACTTCGAACCTCTATGATAGACGATCTAAATGCAAGTAATGTTTTCTACAAGAAGAGGTTAGAAGAGCTAGGGCAGAGACTCCAGGAGCAGAATGAGCTGATTATAACTCAGAAACAGCAGGTATGTCTGGTGGTAGGTTGGCCCCATGCTTCTTTAAGCAACGCGGTTTATCTAAGAACATGTGTTTTTAGTTCAGAGCATTTGTAAGTGGTATAAGGTAAAGGAGACAGACCATATTTCCCCTTGTGATAGCTCACAAAAGTAAATACAATAAAATAAAATTTTAAAAGGTATTTTAAAATCCTTTAGAGCAGATTTATTCAGTTAGAATTCAAAATTAATTTGATTTGAAGGTAAATAAGAAATTTTTTTGGTAATTACTTTGAGGAGCAGCCAAGTCCAAATGCTGCTTGTATAGTACTTTTGCTCCTGTGCTTTTAAATCCATGCGCCCTGTGTCTTTAAACGATTTAGTGAGAAGGTTAATTTACTAACATTATCTGTCCATTATCCAGTGTGTTCCTGTCTAGTTTCAAATATGTATCAATAAAAGACTGTTCTCCTTTGCAGATTAAAGAGTTTACCTGTAAACCGTTAAACAGTGTCAATGAATCCAAAGGTAAGTGGACAGGATCTCGGTGCTGGGGGTGAGGTGAGCCTCCCTGGCTGTGCTGGGCAGCAGAAGAATGTGGACCCTGCTGGTTTATGTGTGCTAAAGATGTCATTCCTCTTGTGATTTTAATTTGGGAGATCTAACCTCTATTATTTTATCTGGGAGATCTGCTTACCACTACCCATAGAGTTGAAGAATTCTAAAAATCTCAACTATCATTTAATGATTTCATTATTTTTATCAGAATACTATTATGCACATCACACCTACTCAGTAACCATTTACCTCTTAATTTGTATACTGTAGCACAGATAGAGTTATGATTAAAAGCACAGGATCTGGAGATAGACTGAGTTCAAGTCCTGTCTCTGGTACTTCGTAGCTTTGTGAATCTCTGCCTCAGTTTCCTCAGCTCTGGGCCGGGCACGGTGGCTCACGCCTTTAATCCTAGCACTCTGGGAGGCTGAGGCAGGTGGATCGCTCAAGGTCAGGAGTTCAAAGCCAGCATGAGCAAGAGCCAGACCCCGTCTCTACTATAAATAGAAAGAAATTAGCCAAACAACTAAAAATATATAGAAAAAATTAGCCGGGCATGGTGGCGCATGCCTGTAGTCCCAGCTACTCGGGAGGCTGAGGCAGTAGGATTGCTTTAGCCCAGGAGTTTGAGGTTGCTGTGAGCTAGGCTGACGCCACAGCACTCTAGCCTGGGGAACAGAGTGAGACTCTGTCTCAAAAAAAAAAAAGTTTCCTCAGCTCTGAAGTAGGAATATTAATAGTGTCTTAGTCCCATTTTATGCTGCTATAATAGAATACCACAGACTGGGTAATTTATAAAGAACTGAAGTGTCCAAAGACTGGGAAGTCCAAGACCATGGTGCCTGCACCTGGCAAGGGTCATCCCACAGCAGAAGGCATCATGTGGCATGCTAGAATGCAAGACAGAGAGAGGAAATTAGTCCAAACTCCTTTTTAATCAGAAACCTACTCTTGCAATAATAACCAACACACTCCTGCCACTGTTGCGTGTGACATTGTTAAAATGGCCATTGAGTTTTGGAGGGGACATTTAAACCATAGCAAATAGTGACTATATCATAGGTTGGTTGTGAGGGTTACGTGGGATAATGTGAAGTGCACCTGTTAAGCCCTCGTTGGTGATAGGTATTGTTATTGATATTAAACTCTTACTCTGAAATGCTATAAAGGCTTGCTGCTTTAGTCTCAGTTGTGGTGGTTTAGGGGTGAAAGCACCGTGGGTAAGAGGGGTATACACCGCCCACTGACTGCAGCAGTGGTAGGTAGCCTGCCAGTCTCTGTACCATTCAGGAGCCAGACAGCCCATAAGGGAGTATGCAGGCCACAGGTGCAGGGTCTCTTAGTAAAGCCTAAAAGCTCACCTTCTGCCTGGTCTGCCTCCCAGTGATTCCAGTCTTGGCTCCTGCACGTCTCAGGTTGTTAAGCTCAGGGTTGGTCCCAGGGTGTAGGAGCTGGGTTTCCTCCCTTTTGTTTTTCCATAAATGGTTGTGGAAAGAAGGGGTTGTGGTTCCCTTTAACATCTCTTTGAATGGCAAGAGCTCGGGTAGTGAGCGTTACCTGTATAATTACTCAGATATCATAAATATTTGAAAAGCAATTTTAGAAAGAATTTAGGTTTAAAAGGGTTTATGTTAAACATATTTATTCTCTTGGGTGAGACACTATATATTGGTACATTTTATTTATTATTTTTCTGGGGGATAAAAATTAGGGCTGCCAGAATTTAATCTGTAGCTTGTGATTTTTGTTACTAATTCATTTTTTTTTTTTTTTTTTGTCATTTCAGGGACTCATTTAGCCTGGCAAACTTTTGAATCTAAGCCAACTGCCCCAGCCATACCTGGTAAGTTTCTATATTAGGTTCGGGGCTTTAAAGGTATCTTTATTTTTTTTTTTATTTTTTTTTTTATACCAATTTGATGGCGAGTACAAAGGTATCTTTAAAATACTAAACCAAAACATATCTTTTACTTATTCGTTATTTTTAGAGAAGAGACTTTTCTTAGAAAATCAACGTGTTTAGAGATTGCATAATGATTTATTCTGATTCATGCATTGACCTAGTTCTAAAACCCAGGACTGTAAATATCCACGTGATTTTGTGGGGATTTTGATTAGCCATAGCTAGTATTTTGCAATTTGCCTTGTAATGGGATGACTAAAAATTCCTTGGCATCAATCCAGGTTATACTTTTAGACTTCGCAAAGTGACACACTGTGTGACTATGCTGCTGCCTGTGGTGGCCACCACGTTTTGGCAATGCTGAGACTCTTGCTGCTGCCAGCTTTGAACAAGTGTTCTGTCTGTCCTCACTTGCGGTTGGCTCGGCCATCTGGTCTGTCTCCCAGAGCTGTCAGGATTCAGCAGGAAACCAAAAAGACATAATCTTTACAGTTTAGAAACCGACAGATTTTTTTTTTTTAAGATAATAAATAGTTGAAATATCTTTACTCCCATTCAGGGAAGATCTGTGGGTGGAGGGAGTCAGGGAGCTGGCGCTGGTGGGCGTGCACAGGGATCTGCGCTGGAGGAACCCAGACTGAGGCTGGGCACGGGGTGAAGACACCATGCATATGGGCCCAGGACTCATGAGGGGACTGCATTGTGGCCGAAGGACATTAATGGGCACGTTTTGGAATTTGGCACAATTGACTAGAAAACGCTAACGTTTTAACTGCTTGGTTTTTTCAGGTGCTTCTTGAAGCTTCTTTTTTTTTTTTTTTCTCCTTGAAGATAGAGTCTCACTGTGTCACGCAGGCTGGAGTGCAGTGGAGCAATCCTGCCTCACTGCAACCTCCAGTTCCTGGCCTCAAGTGATCTTTCCACCTTGGCCTCCCAAAGTGCTGGGATTACAGGCCGTGAGCCGCGGTGCCCGGCCTCTTGAAGCTTCTTGAGGTTGCTTCTTGAAGCTAAAGAGGTTGGGAGGTGATGGGGAGTTTCAGTGCTAAGAGTAGAGCTGAGGGGAGAGGAGAAGCTGGACTTAAACATATCTTATGAAATTAAAAAAACACGTTTCAGAGAAGGATGGAACAGCACAAAGATTATTCAAGCAAAAAAATCTTCATCAGCTAACTAAACTCAATTATACAAGCAAAAAAAATACCCAAGCTCTATTTAGTGAAGGTGGTTTTTCTCCAGACGGGGTGTTCAAAGCCCCTGGAGGTATGCAAAATGATCTGTTGGAATACAGGAAAGAAATTATTAGAAGTTCTTTTTTTTTTTTTTTTTTGAGACAGAGTCTCACTTTGTTGCCCAGGCTAGAGAGAGTGCCGTGGCGTCAGCCTGGCTCACAGCAACCTCAATCTCCGGGGCTCAGCGATCCTACTGCCTCAGCCTCCCGAGTAGCTGGGACTACAGGCATGCGCCACCATGCCCGGCTAATTTTTTGTATATATATTTTTAGTTGGTCAATTAATTTATTTCTATTTTTGGTAGAGACGGGGTCTCGCTCAGGCTGGTTTCAAACTCCTAACCTTGAGCAATCCGCCCGCCTCGGCCTCCCAAAGTGCTAGGATTACAGGCGTGAGCCACCACGCCCGGCCTAGAAGTTCTTTTTATATATTAAAAAGAATCTTATCCTTTTAAAATTTTCAAAAAACTTTTTTCCATTTTAAAATGTAATATTATTTACATCATAGTGTATGTAGAATTTATTTAAATAAAATACGTGTATATTGGGGGTAATTTTTACGGACTGGAGCATATGGTCAAAAAAATATGGATGCCATTAGCTCTAGAGAATTCCAGGGGGGAAAAGGCCCATAGACAGGGTCACTTCACAAGTGGGATCTCTGTGCATTGTGATGAGTAGGCAAGAAACGGTGGTTGGCATGTCCCCATTTCTCCTCCCAGCATGGAAAAGGATCTAAGAGTCAAGGCCCTAGTGATGGCAGGGAAATGTCTCTTTGCTTAAAAGAAAACACACATGCTCTAAGACGTTAAGATCAGACAATCCAAATCACAAAGTGAAAGAGACAGCTTAAGTGATATACAACAAATCAAACCCCATACCCAGCAAAAGGAAGGGTCTGTAATGTCTAATGTGGGGCAGATATGATAACACCTGTTCACCCACCAATCCGTATGCCATCGGTGATTTAGACACTAGTCCGTCATTCTAGACCTGATTTATTACCTCTTCCTTAACAAGGGAATGAATTTGGTAGTTTAGGAAGAAGGCCTGGTTGTGATCAATTTTAACAAGATTAGCTTTTAATTCTGCAAGCTGGAATAATATCTATATCAGAAATAGTTAATATTCTGGTTTTTCTTTTTTCCTGTAAAGGGCTGGGTAGTAACAGTTTTAGGCCTCACAGGCTAGATGGTCCATTTTGCAGCTACTCAACTTTGCTGTTGTCAGTGCAAAATCATCCGTAGACAATATTTAAATGAATGAGCTTGGCTGTGTCCCAAGAAAAACAGGCAGTGGGCTGGGTATGTCCCACGGGCTATAGTTTGCCAACCGTGTTCTAGATTATACAAGTTGCAAATGGGTTTGAAAGCCATATTTCCAGAGGTTATTAGCAATTTACAAACAGGAGTCAAACACTTCCACTGGTAGTCATTGTAATAACAAAAAAATGTATGCCTATCGAAGTAGCTGGGGTTTGTGGCCAGTATCTTTTAAGGTAGGATTAGAATTAAAGGTCTATTTTAACAAACTAGAGAAAGTGGCAGTAAACTAAAAGACAAGTGTTGTTTAGTGAAAACAGACTGGACAACATAATAGCCCTCAGTTAAGAATTGTCAAATATTGGAAGAGGGGCTGTGGAATCTAATTTTCTGGAGAAAATTTAAGATAGAGAGCGGTTAGTCTTACTTAAATCAGGTAAGCTCTTCTCTAAAGGCTGTGGCTGAATTAATGTCTTCACCTGGTGTCTTCTAGCCCAGGGATTGGAATACTTTCAAAATCGGGGTATCGTGCCTGAATGTTCATCGCAGCATTATTCATATTAGCCAGAAAGTGGAAGTAACCTAAATGTCCATCAGCTAATGAACAGATAAATAAAATGTAGTCTATTCAAACAGTGAAATGTCATTTGGCCATAAAAATACATGCTGCAATATGGATGAACCTGGAAAACTAGTGAGAGAAGCCACACACACAAGGGGCCAAGTCACACATATTGTGTGACTCCATTTACTATATGAAACATCCAGAACAGGCAAATTCACAGAGATGGAAAGTAGATTAATCCATTGCCATGGACTGGTGAGGGGAAAGAAATGAGATGTGATGGCTAATGGGGACAGGTGTTTTGGGGGTAGTGGGATGAAAATGTTCTAAAATTTGATAGCAGTTATGGTTGCACAGCTCTGAGAATACACTGAATTGAATATTTTTAAAGGGTGAATTATATCTCAATAAAGCTATTATTAAAAATTGGTTTAGGGTAGTTATGTACTATCTTTGTCGTTTGAAACATCTGTCCCTTATGGTCTGTTATGTATCTTGACTAATTTGAGGAGTATTTGGTTATCATCATGTTCGGATGCTTGCACTTTAATTATGGAAGCTGTGAGCTTTTTCTTTTTTGTGCTGTTTCAGTGAATGCCCCCGCCCTGCCGACTTTGGAAGCTAAATCAAGTCTAGCGATGGCACATGGTAGGTTTTCAGCATTTTATGTGCACTTGCCACTCTGAGTTAGATAACTTATTAACCAAAAGCGCTTTTGTTGGGGGTAATTATGTAAAACAGGAAGCATTTTAGTGATTGCAAAACAATTATTAAAACTGCAGTCTTCATGTGTAATATTACTGTAAACTAAACATACCTACCAAAAGTCATAAAGTATAAAATGCATATATTGCCAGACTCACAAATAGGAATTTTACCTTTGAGTAGTACTTTGATTACGATTTTTGTGGAAAATAGTAGGTATTGGGCAAGAATGAGGGTGACCTGCTACTAGACCAGCCAACCAGCCCTGCCACAGGGCATATGTGGTTGTTTTTATAACTTTCAGTGTGGCAGCAAGTCACCTTCTTCAAACAAACAGTTTCAAAGATTGGTTGTTGGGAAAATCTAGAAAAGACATGTGATGGAAACCAAAGGAAATAAGTAGGAACCACTGGATGAAATCACTGCCAGGATTCGGTTCTTGGACCAGATCAAAAGGGTGATAATTGCTATTAACAAGATCCAGTAGATGGGGTGGATATTTGTAGCCATACTTCGCTTTTTACACAGTTGAAGTGCTTACAGTTTTCATAGTATGTTCTTCAATATGTTGTTTTCCTGTACTCTGCTGTATGTTACAAATGAATTAAGATGGGAAGAGGACCATCTTTTTCCTGTCTCACTTACAGATGGTCTGGAATCTTAATGATTACTACACTTTAATTTTTGGCCTTTTAAAAGGTTAGACTTCAATCCGTGATCTAATTGGTCAGTGTAGTAGGACTTTTTGTCTTCTTAAATATTGTGGTCTTTAGTAATAATCCTAATTCTTTTTACTCATGTCTGACTTTTGAAGTGTTTATTGCATCTTATTTTTTTTTTTCTAAGACCATTTCAGGCAGATCATTTGTCTTAAGTATATGATCACAATATGTACTGTATAAATTCTCCACACATTGGATCTTCTTATTTACAAGTGTTTAGAACATGCAGTTTTTTCCCTTTGGACCAGGAACAGAGATAAAATGCAGATTGGACATATATAAATTAGCTTTAATATTGAATATACAAGAAAGTTATCTCTGGCAATTCATTCTGTATTCATATTATTTCATGTCAGGTCTAAAACCTCTCAGTTGCCTCCTTTTTGAGGTTTGATTTTTATAAAGCATTGCGGGCCTCTTTCCTTTTGTATTTCAAGTGTATTTTAGTTTCTTTTCCTTTTTTTCCCCCTACTTTATTATTGTTAGCCTTCTTATATGACATTATAAAAGGTCCATATTTTGTTTGTCATATATTTTTGTTGCTAAACAAAGGACAACACCGAGTCGGTATGTTAAGCTGTCTGGGGTTAATTCGAGAGTCCTGGCAAATGTATCATTTCTAAAGCATGGGTTCCATGTAGACCCTGGCCCGATTGACCCAGGGCTGCACAAATCATTCATGCCCCCTTCCTGGCATCCGCTGGGATTGAAGTGCTAGTTTTAAATGCCAGCCAGACCTGGCACAGGGCCCACAGCCCTTGGATGGAGATCAAAGCTGATTCGTGAGCATCTCCGTGGCAGGAGCTAGGAGGGGACTAGGCCAGGGCCAGCCGACGTCCCCCACCCAGCCAGGCCAGCTTCCCCAGGGCAGTGAGGGCAGGGAGGTCAGTCATGGGTTGCTTAGCGTTCCTGAAGCTGGTTACCCTCCATCCTTTGTCCACATCTCAAAGCTTGACGAGGTTCTTCACCATGAAAAATGTGATTCCTCACCGCTTTAGGTCGGGTTCCCTGGGAAACAGCCTCCGAGGCAGAGGTTTACAGTTGGGAGGTTTACTGGGAGATGCCATTCAGACAGCACTTGGGAGGGACATTGAACCGGGATTGGGAGAAAGGGACACTGAACACAGACACAGCTGCAGAGGAGGTTTCCACCGACCCTGCTCGAGAGCTGCAGAGCTGGGCTGGGCACTTCGGACTGTCTGTGTTCGGACACAGGCTGTCCCAAGGAGAGGACAGCTGCTCCCTTCAGCTGGGGGCAGTGCATGGAAGGGACGCCACTGCCAGCTGCCAGGAGCCAACACTGCCAGCACTGCTGTCCTGAGGGGATCTGGGTAAAAATGGGGGGCTCTGATCGCTCCCCTGCTTCGACTTTGCTGCCCCAGCTGAACAACAGAGGCAGTGAGTTACGATGCTAAGGCCGTCGACAGGATGACACGCAGGTTCTGGAGAAAATAAATAGTCGTGCTCGACTGCCATCCACTATTGTAGGTTTTTCCTGGGAAAAACCTCAAAGTCATTTTTTAGTAGTACTTTCACCCCGGGAGAACGCTTTGCTCATGGAGTTGTGCCTAAATTGTGGCATTACAGAGCCCAGAAAATCAAGTATACTTTGTCATTGTTAAACTGACCCACACACCCGTCGCTTGGGGTTGCCTTGCCTGATAACGTTGTCCCCTTTTAGAGTGGCCAGGCAAAATGACCGTCTTCTTTTAGCACTGAGGATGCAAAATAATCACTTTTTCCAAAGCCTCTGGGCACCACTAGGTTCTACCTGCACGTAGAGCTCTGCTTTAATTAGGTCTATAAATTGTGAAGGGTTTATGTATGCCTGACTTTAATTGTACAGCTAGGACAAGAGCCGCAAAAACTAGAAATTAGAAATGGGAAAGCTGCCCTGAGCCTTTAAGAATGTCATAATTGCTTTCCAAAAGGCAGAAACATTTCTATTAGACTTTTTAATTATGATGTTTTGTTCACAAAGTAAATATTTCACATCTTGAAATAATGGAATCCTAATACAGGACGGGCGCGGTGGCTCACGCCTGTAATCCTAGCACTCTGGGAGGCCGAGAAGGGTGGATCGCTCAAGGTCAGGAGTTCGAAACCAGCCTGGGCAAGAGCGAGACCCCCGTCTCTACTATAAATAGAAAAGAATTAATTGGTCAACTAAAAACATATAGAAAAAATTAGCCGGGCATGGTGGCACATGCCTGTAGTACCAGCTACTCGGGACTGCAGTAGGCAGAAGGATTGCTTGAGTCCAGGAGTTTGAGGTTGCTACAGTTCGGGCAATGGAGTTCTGGTGTTGTGGCTCTTACTAGGAAGAAGGGTGGCTTCTCCCTCTGAGTGCCATCAGCCCGAACAGAGCTACAGAAGCAGGGTGGGGCCCACTGAAAGGAAGTCTTAGTCTTAGACCCTCAAAAGGAGAATGGGGCTGATCCCTGCCAGGTGACCCTGTTTACATGCAGTCACATGAGGAAATGTTTGGATGTGGCTGACATCCTCGGTACATCTCCCAGGAAAGTTCAGGAGAATCTTAAACAGGAGTTAAAATGCCACTTGTCACTATGCCGTTTCTCCAGTGGTGTCCCGCCCCTTTCCGCCTGCATTCCTTCACGGACCGCTGGGCAGTGGTGGATAGCTGTGGGCCACCCCTGTGTGCAAGGCCAAGGTTGGGCACGACAGAGACACAGAAATGATCAGAAGCAGAGTCTGCCCCCAAAGAACTTACAGTCTCTAAAGGAGACCAGATGCTTATGATTATGGTGCAAGGTGAGAGCCATTGATAAACAAAATGAGTATCCGAGCAAGGGAGAGATTTGCTCCACTTAGGGGACCCAGAGCAGCTGGCATTTGGCCAGTTGAGCTGAGTAGGAGGTGACATGTCAGGATGGCATCCTAGGCAAAGCAGACAGTAAAAGGAAAAGGAAGCAGGAAGGCACGAGATGTGAACTAGCCGTACAAAGTCATTACTTGGCTGAGCAGAGACAATGCAGAAGAGATTTGAGGGAAGTAAGGTTGGTCAAGGCCGTTCTTGGCAGCCATTGAGTGCCAGATTGCTGCTGTCCGTTATTTGTGCAGTGTGTAGCTGCTGAATGTTCTTGAGTCTGGGCATGCAGAACTGGAGAGCTGGGCTGTGGGAATCCAAGCTGGGGAGTGATTGACGGCCAGGACGAGGGGAGGGACAAAACATGGCGCACTCCCATAACGGGTGGATGGCGGTGGCATTTGGAGAAGTCAGGAAGACAAGCCTAGGGAGTGCCAGGAGGGAGCTTATTGCCTCATGGTCAAGAATCTGAACTTTGGAAGCAGACAGTCTGGATTCACAGCCGACTCATGAAGCTGCAGGCTTAGGTGGCCTTGCCTGCCCAGTGGGGAGAACGGTGGTGGCTCCTTCAGTGGGCCATTGTGAGGTCCCATGAGGCAGGAGCCACTGAGGAAGGAAACACCGGGCACATCTGGCTGCTAGGGCAGGGATGGGGAAGTCCAGCCAGAGGCCAGCCAGTGGGGGAAAGGGTGAGGCGAGGGAGAGGTCTGGGAGCCTTTCTTCTGCAGGTGATAGTAAGAGAGTGGTGTAAGGATTTTTCTGGAAGCCTCAGTACAGATCTCAGCTCAGGACAGAAGCTGGGACTTTTGGAGGCTAGACCGGTGGCTTACAAAGCATGACAATGGCAGGCCCTTCCTACCCCACATGGGACATCTGCCTGCTTGTTTGGGGTTTGGGGGTTTGATCAATGTCACTTCCCCAGTCCTGCGTTTTAAGAGCCAGGTTCAGGAATCTACCCTTCTCCCAGAACTCCCCCTGTGCGCACAGAAGGAAACAGGTCAGAACTTTGCCAGTTTTTCCCACCTCTAGAGAAATAAGTCGTAGGAATAGCCCTGTAATATAATGATATGTGTATGACAATTTTGTGAAGATTTTATTAAAATTTTCTTCATAACCTTATTTTTGTCATTTCCATAAAGCATAATAAAATACAAACCATGTGACTTTTTAAAAACTGAAATTAGTTGTCCTCCTTAAATCTCTATTTTCAGCAGTTCAAGCTAGTAAAATAATGTATTGGTATAATTTTACTCGAGGCTGAATAACAAATTTGAAAAGCACATTTTTGTGTTCAGCGTTACAGTATAATACCTGGATGGGCTTAAATGTTCCTTTATGGGGCCATGTCCACGTTTCAAAAATATTCTATAAGTGACAAAGATCTTTTGCACTTGTTCCCGTGTGTCTTAAAAGACTCATTTCAAGCATTCAGTTGATGAGTGGGAAATTTTAAGCTGGTCTCCTACTTAGTAATAGGCTATGTTCCAGAAGTTCGTTTAAAACGCATTTCTCCCATACAGCCCACGTTAGACACATTGACTAGGTTGCTGGGCAAGATATAAGAACCTATTTATATATACCTAAATCAGTCTGCTCATCTATCCACTATCTATCTAAAATAGAATACTAGAAACATCCTTTAATAAATTAAAAATCAAGCCTTCAAAGCAGGAGGCATTAATTCTTAGATACTTATAAGCCCTTCGATCTCTGTCAGTGTTGGCTGTCTTTACCCTGGCCCATTGCCCACTTGGGGGGTCTGTGGTAGAGTGGAATATCCTCCGCCTTGGCGTGGAAGGTGGAAAGCTAGTGGGGAGGTGCCTTATGTCAGTCTCCAAGCTGAAGGTGAGTGAACCACACACCCATAAGCCAGCCTTGCTAGTTGCATTTTATCCCATGTCTAATGCTTGACCGCCATCATTAAACCTTCACCCAAAACTTGACCTTCCCCACGAAGGAAATGCCCTTCCCTTGATAGGCTGGGGTTTGGTGTTATTAATGCTGCCAGCAGGGTCCTTGTGTATGCATATAACATTTCCCTGGGAAATGTCACCCCAGGGACCTTATCTCCCAGTAGTTGCTGTTGTGGGGTGAGATTGGGAAGAGTCCTCCTTCCTCTGCCCAGAAGTGGGGTCAGGGCCTTTTTCAGCCCACAGCCTTGCCCTGGCAGCTCTCCAGGAGCAGACTGGGTCTTGAAAGACAGGCTAGGGATGTGCAGGTGTGTAAGAATGGCCCCTAGTCTTGCAGCCAACCTCTCACCTGTCCTCAGCTATTTATCTTCTTGGTCCTACCACTTGAAGACCCTGGGGTTAGTGCTGGGGGCAGGCAGTAAGTGGGAATCCCAGGGCCTCAGGAATTTTTAATTTTTTTTTGTAATCAAAATATTTTCATCAATTTTCTATTTAGCCACTTGATCAAAATATTTTATAGGCCGGGCGTGGTGGCTCACGCCTGTAATCCTAGCACTCTGGGAGGCCGAGGCGGGCGGATTGCTCAAGGTCAGGAGTTCGAAACCAGCCTGAGCAAGAGCGAGACCCTGTCTCTACTATAAATAGAAAGAAATTAATTGGCCAACTAATATATATGGAAAAGATTAGCCGGGCATGGTGGTGCATGCCTGTAGTCCCAGCTACTCGGGAGGCTGAGGCAGGAGATTGAGGTTGCTGTGAGCTAGGCTGACACCACGGCACTCACTGTAGCCTGGGCAACAAAGTGAGACTCTGTGTCAAAAAAAAAAAAAAAAAATTTTATAAGTGACAAAGATCTTTTGAACTTGTGCCTTTGCGCCTTAAAAGACTCATTCCAAGCATTCAGTTCATGAGTGAGAAACTTTAACTTAAATTATTTAAAAATATAATTTCCTCAGAGTGGAGTTAATGGAAAATACATAGAAATAGAAGATACCGTGAAACAGTGACCAGCTTTAACTGATTGCCTCAGTATTTTTCTCCTAGTAAATTATTGCTTTTTAGGCATGATTAACATACCATAGAATTATATCTTTGAAATTGCTTGAAAGGAAACCAATGTTACTTTGCTACTGTCCTGTTTGTACGATTCTTATTTTTCCTCGTTAACAGAACAGGCATTCTCATCGCACATTCTGGAACCAATAGAAGAACTTTCAGAGGAAGAAAAAGGTAACAAAAGTCTTGATCAGAGTTTGCCTGTGTAGATTATATGCCAAAATCCAAGCCTTGAAAATACAAGCCAGTTTTTATTATACTGTATCAAAATTAAGAAAGACATTTAGGTTTGGATTTTATTTTCAACCTACATAGTATTCTGTTGTCTTAGTCCCTTGATACTCTGTTATATTTTCCTCTGCTTTACTGTATTCTTATGCAAACAGATGAAATAAGAAATTTCCTGTGTCGAGGAAATTGAAAAAAAATTTGAGTCTTTGTTTCAATGCAGATACTTTCTGATAAGTTAAGTTGACAAACATGTGTTGCGTACCAGATGTAAGGAAAATATTTGTATCACAGTGGTGATTTCTCATACTCTGAAACGAGTGTATTAAGTGTTCGTTTTCAAATTATTTTTAATAGCAAGAAAAGCATAATGTCTAAGCTCTGGATGTGGAATATTTATGTGCAAAATAATATCTTTATGATAGAAATTGGGAGTTGTTACAAGTTTGGGGAGATAATTAAAATTATTATTACTGCTTATTGTATTGACAGCTCTAAAAATTATTTTCTTTAAAAATTAATTTTTGAAGTCTGTGAAAAAATTTTTAATTGTAAGTATTTTCTTTCAGACGTGGTGGCTCATGCCTGAAATCCCAGCACTTTGGGAGGCTGGGGCAGGAGGATTGATTGAAGCCAGGAGTTTGAGACCAGCCTGGGCAACATAGCAAGACCCCATCTCTAAAAATTAAAATAAAAATATTAACCGGGTGTGGTGGTGTGTGCCTGTATACTTAGCTACTTGGGAGACTGAGGTGGGAGGATTGCTTGAGCCCAAGAGTTGAGATTACAGTGAGCTATGATCAAGCCACTGCACTCCAGCCTGGGATAGGAAGAGAACCCATCTCTAAAATAACAAAAATAAATAAATTTTTTAAAAAGCATTTTCTAAAGCTAGACTTGTAGATACTGAAAACAATTATATTTGAATCAGTTTATGATAATTTTTTCTTATTAATAATAATAATAATTTACCATATATCACTTCTTTAGGAGAAAGCAAATTGTCAGTAATTACGTGGGTTCTGGTTTTGTCATTTTTGTTAGAAGAAGTAAAATTATATGTTCTAATATGTAAACTCTTAATATTTGTTATAAGTATTTCTACGCTCTTTAGACATTTACCAACATTTTAAAAATTTTAACAAGGTTACAAATTGAGAATTGACTAAATCAAGCATATTAACATCTTTTTTTTTGAGATGGGATCTTGCTATGTCGCCCAAGATGGTCTCAAACTCCTGGGTTTAAGTGATTCTCCTGCCTCAGCCTCCCAATTAGCTGATATTACAGGCCCATGCCACCTCGCCGGGCATATTAATATCTATATGATGTATATTTTCAAGTTTAGTCTTGCTATTAGTCCTCAATACCTTTTTGATATTTTTAATGGGATTTGTTTATTTTGCTTCCACATATCTTTGCAATTTTTCTTGACTTTCTATATTTTAGACAGATTATTTAGTTTAGAATTTCTGGAAGGCCGAGGCAGGCGGATTGCTCGAGGTCAGGAGTTCAAAACCATCCTGACAAAAGCAAGACCCCGTGTCTACTATAAATAGAAAGAAATTAATTGGCCAACTAATATATATAGAAAAAATTAGCCGGACATGGTGACGCATGCCTGTAGTCCCAGCTACCTGGGAAGCTAAAGCAGGAAGATTGCTTGAGCCCAGGAGTTTGAGGTTGCTGTGAGCTAGGCTGACACATCGGCTCTCACTGTAGCCTGAGCAACAACGTGAGACTCTGTCTCAAAAAAAAAAAAAAAAGAATAGAATTTCATATCTTCCTGTCCAAGTAGTTGCTCATAGTTGGCACTGATTTTGACGACTATTGTTTCAGTTGCTTCATTTCTTTCTATTAAATAACTTCTTTATAATTGCTGTTCTAATGTTTTTAGAAACCGGTTTCTTTCAGAAACAAGACTGTAGGTACATTAAATTACTAAAGGTACTTTAAATTACTAAATTACTAAAGCTTAAAAAAAAAGGTCGTTGAGGGAAATTTAGAGTTATTCTGATGAGCATAACTTTAAAAGATATTGTCACCCTGTTATGAAATGCCGGGCCTTGTCCCATTGTCAAGGAAAGAAGGAGCTGGTGGTCGTTGGCAAATACTTCCAGCGCCTTAAAGACGCCACAGCCCAGGTGTCAAATGGGATGTCTGCAGGCTAAATCCATTCCACAGATGCTGACTTATTTGAGGCCACACCATTGGCAACTATTATACAATTGATCGCCCATATTTAAATATCAGAATATTTCACAAGAGTATCCTAATGTCTGACTTCTCTTGAAAAACTGGAAACCCTGAGAGTACGGTCCACTTAGCAACATTTAGCAGGGCTGAGTTGCAGTCACCGGCTATAGGAGCCGCCTTGAGTTGCCATAGTCCTCCTCAATGCATTTTGCCCCATGTTGCCTTCTTTGCTTATGTAGGCATGTGAGTTTGTGAGCCGGGTGGATGAAGGGGAATAGTGCTTAACAAGTAGTGTCTTTAAGCTATTTTCAAACATCCTTGTTGGTTTCCCAGAAACAGGATGAAAAAATCCTACCCTATTTGAGTTCTGAATAATGACACATCATTTTACTTGCAAGTAACTTGCTTCCTCTCTCCTACATACATATCATTTATTCATGTCCAAGACATAAAAATCCCTTCGCCTTTGAAGAATCTGTGAAATGTGTCAGAAGGTTCATAGGGAGGGTCACATAATTTTGAAGCTGGAACTTCATTCAGGTCATGTAGTTCACACTCATTTTGAAAACGAGTCAGTGAAGGTTCCAAGAGAAATCGTGATTTGCCTACCGTCACCCAGAGCAGTCTCCTGACTTTCAGTTCCAGGTTCCACCCACTGCATCCCTCTGCCTGTGCTTTTAGAGTTCCTCCACCAAATATATATGAGACAGGAATTCGGGATCATTGACAGCAAAACCATCACTGGTGGCTGCCACATTTGGAAGACTGGAAGAAACAATAATCCTTGCCCCCCTCTCTGTGTTCGGACACAGCTCTCATGGGAGACAGGAGGGTGCTGAGAACCAGGAACAATGCCCTAGGAACCATGTGCACTGCACGCCACAGAAACCAGTGACTGCATCCTCCTCGTGCCTCCATGGGGCCAGCATGCAGACAGCAGATTAATTGCCATCAATAAATTCCTCAGCTTTAGCTAACATTATGCAGATAAATGCCTGTAAAGCTAAACTTTGGCAGTGGTTTGCAAAACACCACGGCTGTGACTTAGAAGTAACTTACATGTGCATATTAACTTACATGTACTTGCTTTTTTTTTTTTTTGAGACAGAGTCTCGCTTTGTTGCCCAGGCTAGAGTGAGTGCTGTGGCGTCAGCCTAGCTCACAGCAACCTCAAACTTCTGGGCTCAAGCAATCCTGCTGCCTCAGCCTCCCGAGTAGCTGGGACTACAGGCATGCGCCACCATGCCCGGCTAATTTTTTCTATATATTTTTAGTTGGCCAATTAATTTATTTCTATTTTTAGTAAAGACGAGGGTCTCACTGTTGCTCAGGCTGATCTCGAACTCCTGACCTTGAGCGATCTGCCCGCCTCGGCCTTCCAGAGTGCTAGGATTACAGGCGTGAGCCACCACGCCCGGCCACATACTTGCTTTTTGACTATTGTGTAGAGGCATTCTCTATCCTGCTGTTTTATAGGATATTAAAATGTGAGGGCCAGAAGGGATTTTAGAGGCCATTTTATTTTTCAGAAACTTGAAACATAGGGATTAGGAGGCTTCTCCAGGTGGTTGAGTTTAGTTAGTGACAGGGCTGGAACAAAAGCCCAAGTTTTCTGCTTTCTATAGCTTAATGGAAAGAACGAGTAGATAAAGGGAACCAGTGTGGGCTGTGCAGGACCAGCTAGGCGGCCTCTGGGGAAGCCCTGGTACCTCTCTGGTTTTGGTATCCTCCTTTGAAAAATGAGGTTTATTACCAGATGATCGATAAATTCCCTTCTGACTCAAAAACTCTGTTATTTTTTAATTTGCTTTGTGCTACAACTGTTTGCTTACCCTAACTGGTATGTTGTTTTTCTGATGCAACTGATCACATGTGTGGGCTATTGTGCATTAAACTGGCCATCTACTTGCATGTATTTTAAAATTTTTCTTTGAAGGAAATGCTAATCTCTATAAAGTTTTGTCTCATTGGTCTTGGTGAGCAATGTGTGCTTTAAACTCTTGAGCTGTGGTTGGTTTTCAAGTGATTAATTCCACCTCTACATAAAAACTTTATTTTTCTCTGTCCACTCTACATTCTTTCTCTTGCTTTTGTTGGCCAGTCCCAGCCTGGTAAGAATCTTTACTGAGGGTGTTCTAATTATTCATAAATAGTTTCCCAAAGCAAGCGCCAACATATAAAGCGAATTTGAAGACAGAAGGAAATGTTTAATCTACCACCATTGGGAGGGAACTAGTCATCAGAATGAACTTGTCATCAGGGTTGAGGATGACCATGGCCATATCAGCAAATGAATTCAAGTGATAGCAAAGGCCTTACAAGTCTTTTAAACTGTAGCCAAGTCCTTGTAGGCATCACTTGACCCCATATTCCAGAGTAAACAGGGCTTGGAGCCTCTATTTAGGCTGTGATTCTTTGTATTCCTTTATTACCTGACCTACTGACCAAAGAATTATCTTTGCACACTCAGGGTATAGGGGGGTGTCATGGAGGCACCATGACTTCCAGCCTCTCTCTTGGTGCTTCTTTATAATCTGAGCCCCAGACAGTTGCAGGCTTGATGGCCAACAGAAGCCAAAGCCAGCAGCACCATGGCTACAGCTAAGATTTTGATGGATTGTCCTTTCCTAGGACAGAAGTGCTTTTTTTGGTGGTTTCAGAATATTTGCAAACACTGGTGGTTAAATAGCAGCATGAATGCTGAGAAAATAAAATTTAAGATTACTTCTGACTTTTACTCATGTATGTGCAATTTTATAATTTCAGTTTAGCAAACTGTAATAGCAAAGTATAGAAAAGTAGCTTTTTTGATTTTTAGACAAGGTCTTTCTCTGTTGCCCAAGCTGGAGTGCAATGGCATAGTCATAGCTCACTGTAACCTTGAACTCCTGGGCTCAAATGATCCTCCTGCCTCAGCTTCCCAAGTAGCTAGGACTACAGGCATGTGCCACGACGATCAGCTAATTTTTAAATTTTTTGTAGAGACATGGTCTTGCTGTGTTGCCCAGATTGGTCTCGAACTCCTGGCTTCAAGAAATTCTCTACCTTGTACTCCCAAACTGCTGGGATTATGGGTGTGAGCCACTGTGCCCAGCCTAGAAAAGTATCTTTATGGAGAATTTTTTTTAATTCTATTTGATGTACAAATAATAATTTGACTAATTTTGCTTTCAGTAAAGCCGTTTATTAATTTAATCAGAATATTTTTTACCACTGGAATAATTGAACTGGTAATTAGAAAACATCTTTTTCTTTTCTTTTCTTTTTTTTTTTTTTTGAGACAGGGTCTCACTTTGTTGCCCAGGCTAGAGTTGAGTGACTGGGCATCAGCCTAGCCCACAGCAACCTCAAACTCCTGGGCTCAAGGATCCTCCTGCCTCAGCCTCCCAAGTAGCTGGGACTACGGGCATGCGCCACCATGCCCAGCTAATTTTTTGTATATATATTTTTAGTTGGTCAATTAATTTATTTCTATTTTTAGTAGAGACTAAAACCAGCTCAAGCTGGTTTTGAACTCCTCACCTCTAGCAATCCTCCCGCTTCAGCCTCCCAGAGTGCTAGGATTACAGGCGTGAGCCACCGCACCAGCCTAGAAAACATCTTAAACAAAAAGGCATTTTGTTCAAAATCTTCTGCAAGTCCAAGTGCTACAGGTTCTAAAACTCCCATCTGCTGAGATGATCAAGCTAGTAGAAGGGAAAGCTCAGCTGGCTTGCAGCCCCACACCTAGGGAATGGCATTTGATGCCACCTTTATTGGGAAAATGCCCCCATTGGAGACTGAACTCCAAAATGATAGTGCAGTTACTACATTTCCCCTATATCTGCCTTTGGACATTCACTATGTCCCTGAACCGCCAAGCACTGGGTCTTATTAATCAAGTCTTTCCTTTCCTTAGACATAAGGAAGGGCTCAGGTTTTCAAAGGTTATTCCATCACCCTCCTTCTCCAAACTCTCTTGAACTTGAAGTTTGTTTTTTTTTAGTAGGGACTAAAAGAGGAATAGGGATGGAAAACTGAGAATATGGCCTGTTGTTATTTTTGGCTTCTTTGTTTTTAATTATAGGTTGTTTTAAACAAATATACTTTTCCTAAGACTTTTTGTTCACCTCCATTTCATTTGGGTAAATATATTAAGGGGGATAATAATTTTCACATTTTGAATTTTTATATATACTTAGCTTCTACTAAACTTATTACTTAAAAACTTTTAATTTTCTTTTTTTTTTTTGAGACAGCTTTGTTGCCCAGGCTAGAGTGAGTGCCGTGGCATCAGCCTAGCTCACAGCAACCTCAAACTCCTGGGCTCAAGCAATCCTGCTGCCTCAGCCTCCCGAGTAGCTGGGACTACAGGCATGCACCACCATGCCCGGCTAATTTTTTTTTCTATATCTATTAGTTGGCCAATTAATTTCTTTCTATTTTTAGTAGAGACAGGGTCTCCCTGTTGCTAAGGGTAGTTTCGAACTCCTGACCTCGAGCAATCCGACCGCCTCGGCCTCCCAGAGAGCTAGGATTACAGGCGTGAGCCACCGCGCCCGGCCAAAACTATTAATTATTTAAAATAAATTGGATTTTTTCTTCATAAGATGATACATAAATTCTAACTGATCTTAGAGATGAATTTTTCAGGAAATAGTGAAATAATTCTAGTGATAAAACATTAAACTTTGAAATATTTTTTTTTCATTATGCTTCTGTACATGTTTCTTATTTATCTAGTTATAATTCGGCTAGGTGACCAAGACTCTTTAAAGACACTGAAGTTTTGAAGCAGACTTAATATAGTTTTAAAAGCTACATTACTTAAGCATTATATATTGTGCTGAATGACAAAAATATCCCGAAACTTAAAAACATTACAAATGCTCACTTGCTGTTTAAAAGTTGTGCTTTGCTATTTTCTGCTTAGGGATTTAATGTATTCGTTTAATTCTTTTTAAACACATTTTTAAAAAAAAAAAAAAACCTTATTTCAGGAAGGGAAAATGAACAGAAATCAAGTAGCAACAAAATGCATTTAAAGAAAGCTTTGAAGATTAACCCTACCCTCACTAAGGAAGTAAAAACAATCTTGGAACAGACCTTGGTGGAGAAACTGGAAACCTTTGGGATTAATGCGGTACGTTCATTCATTTTTTGGAACACTTGCTAATTTTGTTATATTTTGTTTTCTGAATCCGAAAACAATCCGAGAAAAGAAGAAGGCACATCAGTTCTGCCCACATTTGGAGACCAGAGGTTAATGCAACTTACTTTATTTATCAGACACTTAAATGGCATTCACTGTGTGCCTGGCACATACCTAAAACCTTAATAAATATTAATGTGTTTAAATGCAGAAACAAATCTCTGAAATAAGTGACATTATTATCTTGACATTTTACAGAAAGGTTAAGTAACTTGATTAAGATCACATGGCTAGCGATGGAGGAGCCAGGGTTGTGTCTAGGCGGTCACAGTGCTGCTTACTGTGACCCAAATCCCCAAATCATTGCGTATTACACAATCAGTACTTCGTAAATACATGTTGAATGAGTAGATGAATTGTATTTCATATTGTTGCCAGATTGAATAATTTTGATACATCATATTACATGTAAACTTTCTGCTTTTTACATTTTTATTGACATATACAAAATGCATAAATCTTAACTGAACAACTTGATGAATTTATATACCTGTATATATGTAAGTATCTATATAGGCACGTGTGCACATATGTACGTGTATACAAAGTATGTGAACACATATGTATGCATGGGCATACACATGTGGACATGAACATGTATACATGAGTACATGTATATATCCATGTGTATGTGAGGATACCTGTGTATACATGTGTGTATGTGTGTGTGTACACATTTGTGTGTATATATGTATGTATGCACATGGATGTGCATATGAGTATATAGTTGTATGTGTGGATATGGATGTTTTGTGTGTATACAAGCTTGTATACTTACATGTATACATACAGATTTGTATGTATATGGATGCATGTATGAGAGAGAGAGAGATCTGTAACCAGCACCCAGATGATGAGACTGGACATTTTCAACACTCTAGAAGACTCTCATCTTTTCCTAGTCAATATCACCCCTAACTTCCCAACCAGAGGTAGAGTATTCTGACTTGGTTTTGCTTATTCTTGAACTTCATATAAGAGGAAACATACATTGTGTAGTATTTTGTATCTTGCTTTTTTTGTTTATGATTTTGTCTGTATGAGCCATACCTATTGTTTCATGTAGCAATAATTTGTTCTTTATTTATTATATTGTAGTATTCTATCGTATGAATATACTGCAACTTATCTCTTCTGCTGATGGACATTTGGGTTTCCCATTTGGGTTTCCCATTTGGGGCTCTTCTTGGCTATTAATGGTTGCACATGTGTTTTGGTGGACATGGTATGCATTCCTTTTTCTTAGCTGTATATCTAGGAATGAAATTGCTGGGTCAAAGAGTAGGTATATGTTTGGTATAATAGGCACTGCTCAGTAGTTTTCCAAAGTGTTTGTACCATTCACACTATCTCTAACAGTGAATAAGAGTTTAGTTGACCCACATCTTTCATCAACTCTTAATGTTGTCAGTCTTTTAAATTTCCACATAGATTCTTTGTAGGTGGGTTTTGACCACCCTTGGAGCAGTGGAAAGCAAAGATATTCATGAAATGTTCCTATGCAGACTGTATCTTAAAACTATAGTTTTTCATGTTGGTTTTTTGCATATAGTTTGGGTTTTAATTTTAATTGGGATAATTCCTTTTATACTAAGACTATAAAAACTTTCTATATTGTTTTCTAATGCTTGGAGAGGTTTTTTGTTTTGTTTTTTTTTTGTTTTGTTTTTGTTTTGTTTTTTGGTCTATCTAGGCTCTACGAGGTTTGGAAACAGTGATTTGGAGATCTAACTTATTTACAGTTGGATCAGTTGTCCCATTATGATTTGTTGAATAATCCATCCTTTATTTATTTGGATTGACACTTTTATCATATAGGAAATTCCTATATATATTTGGCTTTGTTTTTGAACTTTCAACTGTTTCACTTTTTCTTTGTATTCCTTTGCCCACGCTATACTGATTTAATTACAGTAGCTTTGTCCGGTACTTTAATATCTTCTATAGGCCATGCTTTCTTCATTGGTCTTCTTATTTCAAAAATTGCTTGGCAGTTCTTCCATATTTTGTTTTCCAATGAACTTTAGGAACAACTTCTCCAGGTCCAGAAGAACCTCATTGGGATTCTGATTGGAATTGCTTTAAATTTTGTATATTAATCAGGAAGGATTGACATTTGTACAGTATTAGGTCTTACCATCAGCCACATAGTATATGAACACAGGCATGAAACAAGTGATCCCACAGACAGATGGTAGATCTCTGATGATAGATTGTGTGACTTGAAATGAAGGGAAAATAAAGGGGATTGATTGAATAACTGAGGTCAGAGAAAACTTCTTGGAGGTGGCATTTAATCTGATGATGGAGATTTCTGTCCTGGGCAACTGGGTAGGTGGTGAGGCCACTCCCTGGGACAGGGAAGGCTGATGGAGGGGTGGGGAATGGGAGTGAAAATGAAAGACAGGTGTGTGTGTGTGTGAGACACTATTATTAAATAAACAGCCCTTTGCCTAGTTTTCTTCTGTCTAGGTTCCCACCAAATCCAGGTGAATTTTCTCAAATTATCTCCTTAACTATGCTACTTTCATAATTGAAAGTCATCCCTGGGCTTGGTGTGGTGGCTCACGCCTGTAATCCTAGCACTCTGGGAGGCCGAGGCGGGTGGATCGCTCGAGGTCAGGAGTTCACAACCAGCCTGAGTGAGACCCCCCGTCTTTACCACAAATAGAAATTAATTGACCAACTAAAAACATATATACAAAAAATTAGCTGGGCATGGTGGCGCATGCCTGTAGTCCCAGCTATTTGGGAGGCTGAGGCAGTAGGATCGCTTGAGCCCAGGAGATTGAGGTTGTTGTGAGCTAGGCTGACGCCACAGCACTCACTCTAGCCTGGACAACAAAGTGAGACTCTGTCTCAGAAAAAAAGAAAGTCATCTCTGGTGACTTTCTTTTCTCTGTGGAATAACCTTTCAGCTTTTCGAGTGGGCATTTAGCCTCCATTTCTGGTTTCATCAACCAGACTTTGTAGCATTAGTGTATAAGACGTGCCTTGCCTATTTCCGCCTCAGCGCCTACCTTTCCCACAAGGTGTCCCTGCGTGATCCCGACCCATCTGGAAATCCCCCTTGTTTCTACTTGTTTGGCCCCACCCATCCCTCAGGGCACATCTCAGCCTCCCCCTTCAGCCTTCTCTGGCCACCAAGGCCTCTGATGGCCTTCCTCTGGTCTCTGTGAACCCATTTGGTCCTTATCACATGGCCTTGCATTATTGACCAACAAGTCATAATCAGTCATATATACACCGTATGTGCCTGGCTGCACTGTGGGCTCCTTTGGGGCCAAGGCCAGTGTGTGATATGTTAGGGCATCCCTCACCTTACACATGCAGCTGGAGCCAAGTAAGGACAGACTGAAACATTAACATAGTTAATGCTAACATATGCCCATGAAATGAAAAACACCCCAGGATCAGTGATTAACTTAACGTCTTATTCCTTTAGGATATACGTGGTATTCCAACTGATCACTTGAATAAAGTGCTGAGAAGTGTGGAATTAGCCAGACACGAGGTAGAAAAACACATACCTAACATTCAGCAAATTCGAGAACTCATTGAACATCAGGTCTGCTGTAAAATGGAGGAAAGACTCTTACTCTCTTCAGGTACGCCAGTTACCCACTGCCATTTCATTGCTGCATATGGGAGCTTAAGTTAACAACCTTTTCATAATTTTAAATGATTTTGGCACTTCATTGACAACTCTCTTACTATTTGCACTATTAAATGCTGGGTCTTGGATTTTGTTTTTACATTAAAACAAACTCCTAGAGTCTGGGCTGCAAACCCTAGCAATGGACTTGTTTGTTTCCATGGCAGCATAGACAATATTGTACTGTTTACTGTTATTTTTCACTTACTAATCATAAAGGCGATGGAAACTCAGAAATGTCGCTACTATTCCAGATAAGCACAGTGTTTCTCAAATGGATACCCTTTCAACTGGAGAAGTACCCAAACCGATACCACTTCCTCCCAAAAGCAGACAACTGACTAGACAAAGACCTGTTTTTACAGATAGGACATCTGTTCCAAAGTGAGTATTTTCAGCCCTAAAATTTTGTTGTTGTTGTTAATGTTTGTCTTAGGCAGCCTAGGCTGCCATAACAAAATACCATAGACTGAGTGGCTTAAACAATAGTAATTTATTTTCTCATCATTCTGGAGGCTGGAAATCAGGGAGCAGGGTGCCAGCAGGGGTGGGTTTTGGTGAGGGCTCTCTTTTTGCCTTGTAGACAGCCACCCTCTTGCTGGTCTCCACATGGTAGAGAGAGAGAGTAAGATCTGGTCCCTCTTCCCCTTCTTATAAGGGTACTAATCCTGTCATGGGGGGCCCCACTTCATGACCTCATCAAACTAAAACTAATTACCTCCCAAAGACCCCAACCCCAGACACTAACACATTGGAGGTCAGATCTTCAGCATATGAATTGGAGGTAAGAGAGAAACAGATGAGTCCATAACAGTGTTTGGCCCAACTGAAAAATCACACTTGTAATTCCTACTAGTTCTATTGTTGACGCTGGGAGACTTGTTGCTGTGCTCCCTCTTTAGCATATATTCAAAGCAAAAATCATCAATTCCATAGACATTTATGTTAAATCATATTATTATTCATTCATGCAGTCTGGAAATATTTTTTCTGTTGTTTTTTAGAAATAAGAAAAATGTCATGGAAGATCATTTTCCCAGAAAGCCTTCAAATATTACGTGAGTACTAGTCAGTGTGTGTGTGTGTGGGGGGGGCGTATTTTAAAAATTCTTTCCACTGAACATTCCTTTCATTGTAAAGCAGTATGATCATTGTGGTTGATTGAGCCATAATTATTATATTAATTAATCATAATGAATTTGTGATTCCTTTGTGATGTGTTTTTGTGATTTGTCTTTGTTTCTTTATCAGTTATTACATAAGTCATTAGCACTTAACCACATTGCAGCCTCCATTAAGAAGAGAGACCAGAGTGACCTAGTCACCCCTCCCCCCCTTACCTCCCCACCCTTACTTCAAGTGGTTTCTCAGTAAGCACGTTAAAATCAAATGGCTGATGTTGAGTTTTAATGACCGGATCCATGATAGCATAAATTTGTTTCAGATGATATAATCTTTTAGTGTTCTGGCTCCTTGTGGAAGTTGATAATAATCCTAGTATATTCTCTTGGGTTCCCTTAGGATACTAAGACTCTAGCTCAGTGGCTTATCACCTGTGTGCCACTGGTTCAGCTGATTATTGTTTCAAGCCTGCTTTCTTATCCATGATATGGTATAAGTCTCAATTTTCTTATCTGTAATAGGGATTTATGCTGCCTTTTTCACAGGATAATTCTACAAATTAAATGAGAATATATGAAAAGGGCTTGGTTCAGTGCTTGGCACTTGTAGGTACTCAATAAATTATAGGTATATTATTGTTATTAACTATGAGTAGGACTAATTTTGTCATAATTGAATTTCTTGATGCTATAAATGTCTCTTCATTGAGGCATTGTATAGTAGAGACAATAAATAATGATTCATCCTGCAAAAGCACTTTTCATGTACATAATCTTATGGGAAGGACTTTATTTCATGGGATGTAGTTTGAATCAATATTTACAAGATTGACACGTTTGGAATTTAGGTGTTCAATAAATCTTCTTTAAATGAACAAATACTGCTCTGAACTTCTATTTCACTTTAAAATGAGGGTGATAATTCGTGTGATAACACAAATGAGATTGTGTACATAAAAGCAGGTGCAGTGTAAAAGTAAGTTATCAGTAATTACACTATTTTAAAAGATGGAGTAGTTTTACTGAGGAAAATGTTTTTCTTCCCCTGAGTAATATTTTTCTCAGGTGTCTAAAAGCCAACACTACTAATAACATACACACTCGGGTTCAGAGGAGAAAGGTCGTAACTTCAGCCCGCTTAGATAAATCCGCCCCATGGCCGGCAGAACTTCAGCCTTGTGCCTCGCAGCCATCTTGGCTGGGGCCGCGCAGGCGTTTGTTCTTTCTCCTGCTCACTGGCAATTACTCCAGAAAGTTCCCGCCACTTGAAGAGGCTGATCATTTATAAATCCTGAAACTTAAGAAAACAGCACCCCCACCCCGTCTCTGTTTCGATTCGTGTAGGTCCCCTCCCTTCAGCTCAGAGGAGGAGCAGGAGGAGGACAACCTCGTCCAGACCTATGTGTGCCCAGACCTGCTTCCCCTGCAGCCGCCTCAGAGCTCGGGAAGGAACGCCGCCGCCGCCAAGAGTGACACGGACTGGACCACGGGGAGTGAAATGGAGGACTCGGATGCTTCTCCCAAGCCCACGGGTGAGCTTTTGTCACTGGACAACCTTGCGGACATTTTATTTAGGACGGTCGTCCTCACGCGGGCGCACCACGCTCCGGGAGCGTGAGCGGGGAGAGCGCGCGCGGGGGGAACGCTGGGGCTGCTCCCGAGGGCGCGGCCGGCCGGGGACGGGGACGGCCACCAACCGCCCGGAAGTGGGAGGGAGGAGAGGAGGGAGGTGGGGACGCCACGGACTGGGCGGCTAAACGACAGAGACTTAATTCTCTCACAGTTCTGGAGGCCGAAGTCCAAAATCAAGGTGTGGGCAGGGTTGGTTCCACACGAGGGCTGCGAGGGAAGGAGCCGCTCTGTCCGTTGTCCTTGGCTTGTCTTCTCCCTGTGCGTCTTCACATCCTCCTCCCCCGACGCCTGCATCTCTGTTCAAACCTTCCGTTTGTATGAGGTCACTGGTCGTGGAGGACTAGGGCCCACCTGAATCACCTCACTTTACCCTGATGACCTCCGTAAAGGCTCTGTCTCCAAATAAGGTCGCCTTCTAAAGTACTGGGGTTAGGACTTCAACGCGTGAGTTTGGGGGGGACACGACACAACCTCTAACACTGGGTCACTGTGAGAAGAGCTGCTCTAATACACGGAGCCTCCTCTCAGAGCTGGGATAATTCTAAAAGGAAAACAAAGTCCCGGTCCGTGACAGCAGATAATCTACTGAAGAGAAGTGGAGGTGATGGGACTTTTTAAAAAAAAAAAAAAGAAAGAAAGAAAGAAAAGAAATTCTGCTTAATTCAGTTTTTCAATAATATATTTTAAACATATCAGTTGTAATTAATTTATTATACTGTAAATAATTTGTATATACCATGTAGTTATATAATTATATAAAATGCAAGTGATTCATTTAAAAATAATTCATATTGCCTTTGAAAATACCCATATGAATATTCCATTCATGCAGGTTACCTCACTGAAATTAAAGTTTCTGACCACATACTTGAATGAGATCAGCCTTCTTTGATTTAAAATGAAAACTTTATAGCTCCTAATCTGCAGGATCATGATTTTTTTTTTTTGAGATATTAAAAGTGTTTAACTCTTTTTCCACAAACCCAAAATACATCACTTGATTTTATTTTAATCATGTGCAAAGCTTGTACTCTTTCAAAACTGCCCTTTAGGTTATTTTGGAAATGAAGTAGATACAATTTTTAAAAATCTGTACTTGACTAATTTCTATTGATCTTATAGGGACCTCCATTAAAATACAAACTGAAAAAGTTGAAAAGATGGCTTCAAATCACATAATTGTGAATAAACCAGTTGGTGGGATTAATGCTGCTCAGGTCTTTACCAAAAAAGAAGAATTACAAGAAGAACTAAAGGTGAAATCACTTTTACTTGCTAAACATACATAAAGTCATCTTTTAACAAATGATTAAATGATTGCAACTTTTGTAGTGAAATATGAAACAAAGATAATTAGTTACCATAGTAGAGGTTGAGATTTTCACCTTGTGTTATTTTCAGTATTGCATTTCTTTCTATTCCATAGAGAATCAAAGATATTGGAGCAATAACTGGTAATATATAATATTTTATCACGTTTTACAGGTTTTCAAAGTCCTGCCACATGTATTATTTGATGCTTGCAGATATCAGATGGCTTGTACGAAGAAACTTGTGACTGGCTTGTCATCACTCTTTGCTTCATTTTTCACTTAAATTAGATGTAATTCTTATCCTGTTTATCTATAGAGTACAGAGGTTGTTTTTTGTTTTTTTGTTCGTTTTTGTTGTTTTTTCCAGAGACAACGTCTCACTTGCCCAGGCTGGAGTGCAGTGGCAGGATCATACTAACTGTAACCTCAAACACCTGGCTCGATGAATCCCCCTATCTCAGTAGCTAGGACTACAGGCATTTACCACCACGCCCAACTAATTTAAAAAAATTTTTTTTTTTTTTTGTAGAGATGGGTTCTTGCTATGTTGCTCAGGCTGGTCTCAAACTCCTAGGTTCAAGTGAACTTCCCTCCTTGGCCTCCCAAAGTGCTGGGACTACAGGTGTCAGCCACCACACCCAGCCCAGAGTACTTTTTCAAACTACTTTTATCAGTTAGTGCTATTTGTGTACACAAGCCAAAATGACAAAAAGTCATGTGATGTTCGAAAGAGAGCTAACTCAATCTTCCTTTAGAAAGGACTTGGTAGAAATGTGCGCTCTTTCCAGGGAGGCCTGTTTCTGCTGTGTCCTTGTTTGATGTATCCCATAGTTAGGTGCTGTGTTATCACAGAGCTAAGAGCCTAAAGCACACCTTGCTCTTACTCCCTTATCCTTATAATGCGGTCTTTCTAGAATATTCTAAATTCATAATTGGAAACATATTTCCAAGGCAAGAAACGAAAAGGAGACAGATGATTCCCTCAGTTTTCAAAACACTGACTTCCAAATCCATTTCATTGCCCTGCAGAAATGACCAGGTGTGGAATCCTTGGTAGTTCCCCCTTCTTATCTTACCGTTCAGCGCAGCTGCTCCGTCTGACCAACAAAAAGGGGGAAAGGCACCGTTTCTTTAAGAAATGTTCACTATTCTCCATGTATCTCTTCTAGTGCACAGATGTGGACGACGACGACTGGGACATATCATCCTTAGAGGAAGAAAAATCTTTGGGGAAAAAAACTGGCCAAGAACCTCCACCACCTATGAAGCATGAATCAAATTCCAGTCAAGTGCCAAGTGCCTGGGGCCCATTTAATCCTAAAGGACCAAAGGGAGAAGGTTTGGGCTTTAATTCTGGTTAGTTGTTTCATCTTCATAAATGTCTAATTGACCATCCTATGCTAATACCTCATCAGATAAAAGCACCATGCTGATGCTTTATGTTATTTTAATAAGGTCTGGATATGTATAATTTACTGACATGTATATATTTACTAATTATTTTTATTTAGTTTTAGGCCTAATCTTTAGTCTTTAAAAAAATTTTATATAATTTTATTTTTAGAGATGGGGGTCTCACTATGTTGCCCAGAATGGTCTTAAACCCCTGAGCTCAATCAATCCTCCTGTCTCAGCCTCCTGGGTATCTGAGACTACAGGTGCAATACAGCATACCCAGCTTATATATATATATTTTTAAATGTCCATAGAAATATTTTCTAGATGGAGATGCCCCATAGGAATTAAAATTTTTGATCATATACCTGAAATGAGACCATACTTCCAGCAGTCTTCCTATATTCTTCTGTCTTCTCTATCAAATATTTTTCTTTCTTTTCTTCCGAGGGAAGTTTTTCTTGTTGCTTTGTGGTCAGAGGGATGAGTTCTAAATGAAATCATTTGCTGAGATGATTTTCGCATATCCACCTAGTCTAGAGCCTGGATAAGCCCAAAAACTTAACTCTCAGTAGATTTAATTTGTAAAATTAGACAATTGTAACTTTTTTTATCAAAGTAATTCTTGCACATGATGAAAGCCAAGTTGTACAGAGGCTTCTCTGAACCTCCCCTCACCACCTCCGGCCTTCTGGCGGGCACTCATGTCCTCCAGTTAGTGGGCCTCATACTGCTCTTTCTTGATTCATCAACTTCAGATATAACTGTTAATGTCCTGCTAAGACGATGGGACTTGTGCCTTATCTTCACCCCCTCTGTACTCTCCCCGGCCCCGCCTGTCACGTATTTTTTGACGCACCCACTTTGTGATTTTCATCCCATAGGTGCACTATGACCATGTGTGCCTCGTATCCCATCTTCAGAGTATTTCAACCCCCCTTTGTAGCGATGAGCATTGCCACGCTCTGTCTTCACAGTACCCTGTGTTCCTCCCACCAACAGCTTCGCGCCGCGGTTGCGTGCAGACCTCTAATTGGCCGCACCATTCACCTGGGCTGGTATACACCATGCCCAGTTACTGTCTGAGCCTGGAGAGTCGATGATTATTGAAACAGGAAACCACGTTTGTGTTGCAGACTCTTAAATACACGGGTCACGAGGATGCCCCAAGTACATCTCCTATCTCTTCCCCCCCCCAAGCACCATGGACCTTGAAATGGATTCTGGTGTGCACTCTACGATTTCAGTGGCTCGAAATCATGGCACTTTTTAATTAGCTTCACTTTTAAGTCCATCTACTCTAGAAAATCTGTTTTTAGCAGGTAATCTCTACTTGGCCTGACATTAATAATTTCATTTTCTCGTCTTACTGACTGCACTCCTTAGTAAGGACAACACAGATGTACTGAGCACTTTGAACAGCGCCAGGGCCCCTGCTTGAGACCATCAGTGCTGGCGAAGGAGCGGATGTGTGGCCCTGTGAGAGCTTATATGTTGCAGGACAGCAATCTAGAGATGGGCATTATAAGAATTACACACCCTAGCGCCGCCCGCTCAGGCTCCTGGGGCTGGGCGGGGGGGGGGGGATTTTTTTTTTTTTTTGTGAACAGATTTCAGGCCCACGCTGAGTGATAAATGACAATATGAAATTGTCATTGTCCTCTTTGGCAGGCGCCGAGTGGGGTCAGGCCGATCCTGTACTCTGGACCGAGCGTGGGGGAGCGCCAAGGTCCGGGTTCGAGAAGTGCATAAGGGCCGAGACCCCGTCTCTACTAGAAATGAAAGAAATTAATGGCGCAACTAAATATGTAGAAACAATTACCCGGGATTGCCTAGTAGACAGCTATCGGAGGGCTGAGGCGAGGAGGGCTTACTTGGCAGGGTTTGAGGTTGGCTGGAGCGTATTTGCGACACACGGGCAGACCGTAGGCCAGGCAACAAAATGCGACTCTGTCTCCAAAAAAAAAAAAAGAAAAGAAATTACAGATTTTCTAGATGGAGCCAGATGTGCTTGTTTAATACTGGGCTTCTCTGTTCCTGCTGTCGTTTTTCCCCCCCCTCTTCCCAACGGACTTCAGAAACATGATCACGGCGTCCATTAAAACCAGCAACCCTTGGTAATCTGTGATTGATTGTGGAGTGATTTCAGCAGTGTATAATTATTAATTCACCCACCCAGAAGTCTTGTTTTCCCAGAACACCAACAGTATTTGGCTAAACCTGCCTACAATTCTAGTGCTCCTGTCTGACAGTGTTTCCCACAATAACAAGGAAGCCAATTCAAAGAACAAGGGTCTCTTTAATGGCACCTGATACAGTATTGAAAAACAAATTGTCAACAGTATTTTGAAGCTTATAAAGGTATTTAAGACTTCTGCTTAAAAATAACCTGTCGTTGAAGTCATAAAAAGTTTTTTCTTCAGAATGGTACTCTAGTGTTAATTGGGTTTTTTTTCCAACTAACTTTTTTTTTTAACTTACAGCAGGGTTTGGTTTGAATTATTAAAACTTTTAAAACATATTTTCTCATGTATATTGTCACATTGGAAGTGTTTATCTTATAAAATTCTGTTAGTACCCTTTAAATTGAATTAGTGGAATCAGACTGGTTATTTTTCTTATAGAAGTTTAGAATTATAACAATGTAGCGAGGTCCATGTCAAACACATTTTTCCTGAAGCAACTTTAGCATAATCACCTTTGAGCCACTGTTAGCATGTTGCTATTAAATTTATTTTCTGTAGCATAATCTTTATCTTGGATATTTTAGGAATAACATCTAGCTATTTTAAATGCCTATTTATCAGAACATGAATAGAAAAAACGAGTCATTACTGAATTCGTATTTGTATGTAGTTTTTTTTATTTTTTAAAATACCCGACCCATACTATAAAATACCTCAAAATTAATTTAGCTATATTCTTGAACAATGACATTGTCAAAGGTCAGAAAATTAATACAAACTGTTTTTTGCATTTTTTATTACGTTGTGGTACTATCTGTACTCTGTTTCCAGGAAAAAGTAACATTTTAAGTAACTAACTTGTTGGATTTTGGATCTCTCTTCATTTGTCAACCTTTTCAGTAAAGCCCTCCATCACATCATTGTGACTGTGGCTGAGTTATTAGAAATGATTTCTGTGTTAAATTTATACTAATTAGGGGACTTAACTAAACAAAAAGCTTGCCTTGGAATCCATGCCATATAACATGCTAACCTAACTAGAACAAATCCTTGTCTGTTTCTACCTCCCATCCCCAGGGTCCTTTTTACTGGTAGCCCATCCCACCCTCCAAAAAAAATCCTTCCAGCTCCCCACAAGGGCCATTTCATGCAAATATCCTCACTTTATATTCATGTTTCTACAAGCTTGAGTAAAAGCTGACTCAGATTTTCATGCAGTAGGACAGAGATAAGCAGTCTACAAAAATGTACCATGCCTAATATGGCCCATGGGTCACTTGGTTCATTCTGTTATTTATTCAACAAATATTTATTGAACCACTTGGTTTTGTTCTGTTAATTTTTTATTTTTAGAGACAGGGTATCACTCTCTCACCCAGGCTGGAGTGTTCTGTTTTAAATATACATTCGTTCATTTAGTCACAGTTTAGAGATGTAGTTACAGTTATAATCCTTTTTTTTTTTTTTTTTTTTGAGACAGTGTCTCGCTTTGTTGCCTAGGCTAGAGTGAGTGCCGTGGCGTCAGCCTAGCTCACAGCAACCTCAAACTCCTGGGCTCAAACAATCCTTCTGCCTCAGCCTCCCAAGTAGCTGGGACTACAGGCATGTGCCACCATGCCCGGCTAATTTTTTCTATATATATTAGTTGGCCAATTAATTTCTTTCTATTTATAGTAGAGACGGGGTCTCACTCTTGCTCAGGCTGGTTTCGAACTCCTGACCTCGAGCAATCCGCCCGCCTTGGCCTCCCAGAGAGCTAGGATTACAGGCGTGAGCCACCGCGCCCGACCTTCCTTTTCTTAAAGATGTGAGAAACTGAAAGTTATTGGGTAACTCGCCAAAGGCCATGAAACTAGGAAGTAACAAGAGCAGGCTTTAAGCCAGGTCTATATTCTAAGTTCTGTGTCTGCCACATCTTCATTCCTAAGTGGAGAGGCTTGGGGAAACATAAGGAATTTCCACTAGGTAAATCCAGTGTTTAAGTCACTATGTCTGTGTCATAAAAGCCACTCCTATAACCTATCTGCTTAGTCTCTATCATTTTTTTCTATTAGATTTGGTTTGTTCATTTTTCTTTGGACCGGGTTACTTTATACTGCCCCTCACTGATGGCCAGCTCACATGTTTCTGGACACTTCACCCTCAACACTCCCTAAATTCTTAAGTATAATCTAAGTATTATCTTCACCAGGTCAGCTCTGAATAAAAAAATTTCTTGCAAACACACACCCACATAGCCCTGTCCCACACTGGCCTGCAGCACCTAACCTACCCTTATGTCTTTCAGTTCATTAGCATCTCTGCAAAAGAGATTTCAAATATTATCATGGCATAGAATTTTTTAATTTCATTTTTTTAACAAACTTGTTCATTTCCTTTTTTTCCCATTGAGCACTTCTGAAGAATGCGATTTTCCTTTTAAGTCTTTCACACTTCAGGGAAATATATTCACCCATGTTGTGATTTGTATTGGATAGTTTCTTATTCAAAGATAATGCAGATTCTAATTCTTATCCACATCGTGAAACTACATATATTATCCTACATCATCCTGGTTCAAATGACTGGTTTCGTCACTACTAGGTGGCAACTACTTAAGATCTTTGCTCTCATTTCCTTCTCTGTAAGTGCAAGTGGAAACAGGGACCTCACACGATGGCCGTGGGGGTGAGTCAGGGCATTCAAGGTGTGTACTAACTGCAGTCACTCTTGCCCTCGTGGGCATGTTATACAGAATGGCTCTAGGAATAAATCTGTGCCTTTGTTCAGAAATCCCTAGAGCAACTTACGTGTCTTGAAAAATGGCAAATGTCTCAATGACCCAGTTACTTCCATAAACAGGACCTGTGGTACATGCTGGACCTCAGCCCATCAGTCCAGAGAGAAGTAGGTACCACGTGGGCTCCAGAGGCAACCACAACCAATGTCCCTTGCCCAAGGCCTGCCTCAGGACTCTGCTTTCTGTGCCAGAGAGGCCTAAGCCGTCACTTAAGGTGGATGTGCCACATGAAGGACAGTCACATCTTGGTCCCATCAGCCCCTCCTCGAGCAGTCAGAATGAATTACAGTCATGAAAGACAGGTGTCAGGAACTAGAAGTCCATTTCCAGCCAGTAAAGTATCCATTAACATGGACACCTTTTGAGGAATATACTGTTCTCAGTGGTAAACAGTATTTACCACTGCTAGCCAACATTTACTAAATGCTTATTATAGTTTTTTGCTATTGGAACTTGTAAAGGAAGTAATAAAACCTGTGTCTGTATAATGTAAACTCTCCCCAAAGCATCTTTATAGCATTATACCTCCCCACCAGGCAGAAAGGAAATGAAGCATCCATGTGGGCAAGGTCCAACCAAGGTCGAAGCAAAGCCAGCTACAGCCATTCATGCCATTCATAAGACACCACTCTTTATATACCTTTCTAATCTATGAATGAAAAGAAACAAGGAGTGGGGACAAAGACTGCTATGTATGAATGATTAAAAAAGCTAGATCATGAATACTTGAACCTTTGGTACTAAATGCTTTACATCTTCTACAAATGTATAAAATATATTACAAATCTTGTAAATAACCGGTTTATTTTTTATAGAAAGCCACAACAGAAAATGATTAGTATACAACTATGTAAGAACATTTACATCCATACAATCAACAAATTCTTCAAATTCGTATTTTAAAAATAGTTTGAGTGTTAATTATAGGAGGGCCTTGATGGGATCATTTTGTGAACAGTTCATTTTCACAACAACCTCAAGACACAGCTTGCCAGCAGAGAGCTCTTCTAGACATAAGCATTTTTGTCGAACTGTTTTGAAGGGCTTGTGGTTTTAAAATCTTCTCCGCCATGATACTTCGTCCGAGAAGACATGACGGATGTGGCCCCGTTGTAAGCGTACCCCATTCTGAAAGGCAAGACACAGTTTGGTAGGTTCTATTCCGCACATAGGGCAAACAAAAAATGGGAAAATACTGTCTCTGCCTGTCTCTGTCAACAGCCAAGTTTAAATCTTGCTCTTTCTTAGCTTTCTTCCTTCCTCTGGCCCTGAGAAGTACTTCAGTGTCATTTCTGAATAGCTGGTGTGACAAAGAATCTCTGTAGAAGAAACTCATGGCTTGTTCACTTATTCAGTTATTCCCTTTCAAAACCATTTTTTCAAACTCATTTTCCTGGAACCTAGGAGACTTGGTAGTGACCTTCATCAACAATTCCTGCCTATACGAAAATTATGATGAGGCCAGAATGAAGAATGTGCCCTTGTATTTAGACCCATATTTCTACTTATAGAAACACCTTTAAAATATAATAATGATGAGCCCTTTTAAAAAAAGTTATATAAAACTATATTCTTAACTTTTACCAATTCTGGGTTTTTTAAGTTTCTAAGAATCATATAAATGATCTATAATTTGTCCCACATATAATGATTTAAAATAGCATTGTATTTTTTAAGAGGTAACTTTTGTCTCTTTTCATACCTGGGTGTTTTGTTGTTGTCAGATATTGAAAAGCAAAATATGACACCACCGATTATGCAGAGTGAGGCTCCTGCCCATCCAATAAACAGAGCAGCTCCTAATTCATACCTGCGAGAAAGTATTACAGCTTACTTATTTGGGGAGTAAACAGTATTTACCACTGCTAGCCAACATTTACTAAATGCTTATTATAATTTTTTGCTATTGGAACTTGTAAAGGAAGTAATAACACCTGTGTCTGTATAGTGTAAACTCTCCCCAAAGTGTCTTTATAGCATTATACCTTCCCAACTGGCAGAAAGGAAATGAAGCATCCACGCAGGCAAGGTCCAAGGTCAAAGCAAAGCCAGCTACAGTTCGATTTCCTGACTCCTATAGCATCTTTACTCAGCATCTTTCCTTGGGGCTTAACCTCACCAGGCAGGGTAAATTAGGCAGACTGTAGTTACAAAACAAAAGCTCGCTTTTGCTTTTGTTTTAGTTCAATTAAGTAAATGTTTATGTATTTTTTTATTTTATTTTATTTTATTTTTTTTGAGACAGAGTCTCGATTTGTCGCCCAGGCTAGAGTGAGTGCCGTGGCGTCAGCCTAGCTCACAGCAACCTCAAACTCCTGGGCTCAAGCGATCCTCCTGCCTCAGCCTCCCAAGTAGCTGGGACTACAGGCATGGGCCACCATGCCCAGCTAATTTTTTCTATATATATATTAGTTGGGCAATTAATTTCTTTTTATTTATAGTAGAGGTGGGGTCTCGCTCTTGCTCAGGCTGGTTTCGAACTCCTGAACTCGAGCAATCCGCCCGCCTCGGCCTCCTAGAGAGCTAGGACTATAGGCGTGAGCCACCGCGCCCAGCCGAAGTAAATGTTTATTAAGCACCTGCCACGTGCAAATCATGGTGCGGGTGCCCATAAAGGGTCAGGGAAAGAAACAGCGTTGCCTTAACCTATTACTACAATCTCATGGGGAGATGGATGAACAAGAGCTATCACCTAGTGATAAACTGCTATCAAGAATCTCCTAGATGGCAGGCCATAATACTCTGCTGATAACCAGAGCAGGAGCAAAGATCAACAATACAGTCCTTCCTTTGGGGAGGTCACGATACAAAGGCAGGAATACTACTACTGAGAACAAAAGAGTCACTTGCAAGATGTGGAAACAACCCAAGTGCCCATCAGTATATGAGTGGATTAATGAAATGTGGTATATGTATACCATGGAGTACTACTCAGCTGTAAGAAACAATCATGATCTGGCACCTCTTGTATTATCCTGGATAGAGCTGGAGCCCATTCTACTAAGTGAAGTATCACAAGAATGGAAAAATAAGCACCTCATGTACTCACCAGCAAATTGGTATTGACTGATCAACACCTAAGTGCACATATAGTAATAACATTCATCAGGCATTTGGCAGATGGGAGGCAGGAGGAGGGGATGGGCATATACACACACAATGAGTGCGATGCGCACCATCTGGGGAATGGACACGCTTGAAGCTCTGGGGGGGGGCGCCAACGGCAATATACATAACCTAAACATTTGTACCCCCATAATATGCAAAAATTAAAAAAAAAAGTCACTTGCAGTAGAGAACTAAAGGAAATTCTTTTAGTGGAGGAATATTCACCCACAAAAACAAATAAGAAGTGAGAAAAATGTGTTTTCGGTCACCTGCAGATAGAAAGAACATTGGCACTCTTCTACTGCACAGACAACTAAAGGGATGAGCACGACTGGAAAAGTTCCATGGGGAGGGCATTATTATAGGACGACTACTCTGCGATTTTATGATACTTTCAAATTTTCTCTATTTTTTTCCCCCTAGAGGTTAGGCTGTCCTCTCTCCCAAAACTATGCCTTAGCATTGCTCTTAGTGTAAATATGCCCTGAAAAAATTGGTCTGAGATTTTTTTTTTTTTGAAACAGAGTCTCGCTTTGTTGCCCAGGCTAGAGTGAGTGCCGTGGCGTCAGCCTAGCTCTCATCAACCTCAAACTCCCGGGCTTAAGCAATCCTTCTGCCTCAGCCTCCTGAGTAGCTGGGACTACAGGCATGTGCCACCATGCCCGGCTGATTTTTTCTATTTATATTAGTTGGCCAATTAATTTCTTTCTCTGTATAGTAGAGACAGGGTCTTGCTCTTGTTCAGGCTTGTTTTGAACTCCTGACCTCGAGCAATCCGCCCACCTTGGCCTCCCAGAGTGCTAGGATTATAGGTGTGAGCCACCGCGCCCGGCCGATATTTTTTTTTTTTAAATACTGAGCTTTACTAAAATAGGATGCCAGTGCCAGGTACTACAGATTATTATAAAAATGTCTCTAATTATTCCTAGTGGTCAGCTGAGGGATGAAGGTGATAGCAATCGTAAGCACAGCTCTGCATGATGAACTCATTGAAAGGAGCATTACAAATGTGTACACGGTACTGTTGCAAATCGTAGGGTACATTACACAGGCAGTTCAGGAATTGTGTCTACATTAATTTAAACCCTCTCAAAACTTTCGCAAGCAATTTAAAAATCATGAGTTTGGCTTATATTAATAACTGGTTCACTTACTGCTTTTTTATACATTTTAATTTTAAGTCACTACATATCTGCTCTATTCCAAGGAAAATACCATTTCCATTTGAATTCCATTGTGAATTATGTCAGAGACAAACATTTAATAAACTGAATTCATTCAGAGATTATTTTAGAGATCTTATATCTACACCAATATTTTTAAAAATTTGGACGTGAAGGCTTTTGTGTCTGGCTTTTCTCTTTCAGAGACTTTTTCTTCATTCTGTCCAAAGACAGACTTCAAGTCACACTTCTGTGTGTGTCATTTGGCAAAAATGGACTCATATATATATATTTATATATATAATATATAAATATCTATAATATATATATATATATTATTTTTTTTAGACGGGGTCTTGCTCTGTCACCCAGACTAGAGTGCAGTGGCGTCATCATAACTCACTGCAACCTCAAACTCCTGGGCTCAAGTGATCCTCCTGCCTCAGCCTCCCAAGTAGCTGGAATTACAGGAGCACACCACCATGCCCGGCTAATTTTTCTATTTTTTGTAGAGACAGGGCCTTGATATGTTGCCCAGGCTGGTCTTGAAGTCCTGGCCTCAAGTGATCCTTTAGCCTCAGCCTCCCAAAGTGCTGGGTCACAGGTATGAGCACCTCGCCCAGCCTGACTCGTACTATTGAAAGACAGGATTGACAGAAAGAACAACATATTATAATAGCTAATTTGTTCACAAGGCACGTCTTTTTTGACATTGATTGGGAGACTTAGTCTCTACCTGGAAAACTTTTTTCATTTTTGGTAATGTAAGCAGCTGATTTCAACACTTTGGGGAGATTATCCCAATGTCAGACCTGTTGCAGGTCTTTCTTTTGTTAACAATATCCTCCTGGCCCTAGACCAGCTTTCCCACTCAGGAAAAGCACTTGATTACCATCACCAAAGTTTCTTCATTATTCTGAAAAGTTACAAACCTAGGTAACACCATAGAGATCCAACACTGTCAGGTTGAGGACAGAGCTTTGTTTATAGAGGAAAACATTGGTTTTGGAGCATCTTGGTTGATAGAACTAATCAAAAGCTGCCCGTATGACTATAAGCCACTTATGGCATTGAATGTGACTTTAGTAACCAACTAATGGAGGACAAATGTACTGCTATCAGAGAAATTAAAACACAGATTAACCACTTAAAACTTCCCCCAAAGAAACCATAAAGGTAGTGTTATGATGTCCTCTTAACTACTGGGTGACGTCACTGTCCTCCAGTTGGCTGGCACTCTGGGCTGTTGTTCAAGGCTCTCATTTCATGTTGAGAGGGCTAAGGTTAGACCACACTTGGCGACCTTAATTTTGATGCATTTCATAGTTCCACTCATGTTTCAGCCCAATCACATTCAGAGTAACCCTAAGGAAATTGATTATGGACCATCTCTTATTTTCACCTTCTATGTCTGTCTTCCTTGCACCCATATCCCCATTCTAACTTGAGTTTGCCATCCATGGGGAGCTGATATAGCCTCCCCTGACCACCCCCGTAGAAATGACCCATGCCAGGCATTGTGTCCATCATATGTGCAGGGTGGACAAGAAAAACAGCCCCAGCTCATTGATTTTATAGTCTAGTTGGGGTAGTCAGACATTAAGCAAATAATTATAGTAAGGTGTGATGAAACTTAACTATAGAATTAGAAAAGTATGTTTTTGCCAAGTAAACATTACCACAATCCAGAGGCCAAAACTTTCCTTATCCGGGTGGACATCTGGGTGTCGTTCTCTCAACGGGGTCATGAGCCAGTTTGTTTTGCGGGTGGGTGTCATGACTTTATGGTATTGATCTTAGAGAGGAGGGGTCGCCACCAGCCCTTACACCACACCCAGTATCACATGATGTAATCAATCAATATTACTCCTGTTTATTAATATAAGCAATTTCTAGAATTTAAAACACCGAATGAAAATCATTAGGCACATGGAAAAGATAATGCTGCATGTCTATAATTTTTAGCCCCCAGAAAAGCAATTTTTTTTTTTTTTTTTTTTGCTTTTAGCCACCATTTGGGAGGCAGGCACTATTTGCAAGTTCTCGTACACTTGGGTGGGGGATCCTTTGTGGCACTGGCCAGGCAGTGGGAGAGAGCTGTTAAGCACAGGGAGGCTTGTTGGCACTCAGAAGAAGTTAACGAAGTGGCAGGTGCGTTGTAACGGGACCAAAAGCCAGGGATAATTTGAAGGGGAATGTTAGATACTTACAGAATATTTATTTATTAAATTGATTATCACTTATATAGACCTGGATTCTTATTAACCCTATTCCATTGAAATAATTTATTAAGTAACCTAATGGGATCATTTTGAAATGTCTAACATTTTGGAAAATATACATGTGTCTTGCTAGATTTTAAATTTGGGAAAAAAACATTAACATTTTGTTCTTGCTTTTAGGGACTAGAAAATATTTATTTGGGCTATCGCCTAATCTTAAAAATGAGGATGCAGGACAAGTATGTGTTTTGGAAAAACACTACCAGGTTTTTTTGATTGGCAAAACAACTGCCTCCAAGGCTCTTGACTTTCAGCAG